CCCGGAGGGTAACAAGGAATTCTCTGACCAAGTACAATGTGAGGCCCCCGTTCGATAGCGTTCAGTTGGTGAACATAACTCCAATAACTATGGTTCACGGTACTTATAACTATAGTTACTGGGGCTTACAAACCAACTACTGGGGGGCCTCACATTGTAGGAAAGAATTCCCCTCACACAATCGACATCAATCGACCACGTCTTGCGCCTGGCACGCATGTGCGACACCGTCTTGCTTGCAACGCCAGCGGTACTGGAAATGTGTGCTGCACCACCTGGGTTTCACTGGGATGTTTAACCTGCATCAGGAGTTGGTCAACAACATAGCCGTTGAGTTTAGCAAAAATCGAAGACCAGGATTTCACCAATCAACACCATGTGATGGTCTAAGCTGAGTTGGTTTGAATCTGTTTCAAGGAACGATAGCGGCAAACCCACAGGATTTACGCATTTACCAAGTCGACTTTGTTGAACATTTACCAAACTGTTGGATGCCAGCGCTACGAGCCTCTACAGAGTTTGATGGGTTCTCTAGGCATGGCCCCCCTGGTCATCTCTGTTGGTTATAATTTGGGGCCGCAAAAAGAATGATAGATCTACTGACATTGGTACCCTCCCTATATCAGTAAGCTGCAGCTTTAGCGAAACATAGCGAAACTCAAAGTCATTCAATTTGCTACATATATCATATATTTATATATATATATATATCATACATGCTAGTGACATGGTGGTTTATAGTTGCTTTACCTGACTTTACCTCTTAACGATGATGATTTTCCAGTTCTGGAGCCCTCACCGCCGCGCAACCCGTTGAACGACCCAACTGAGCACTCCAAACACTCCGTCCAGCGATGACGTGTCCGCGTCCCCACCTGACCTGACGGGAGCACAGCGGGGGAACTGGGCAAATGATCAAATTCCAAAACACCCATTTGATCAAAATTTTATGAAGAATACCCGTGGGATTGATGATTGAATAGTAATCCCATTTTCTGAATGATCAAAAAATTATGATTTTTTGGAAGAAAATGGGATGAGATTACTATTCAATTCCGTTTCAATCCCATGTTAGCCCCATTGAATCCCAGTGTGTCCATGGTAAAATCGAAATGATGTGTCCATTTTTGTCCCCACGACGATCAATTTATAATTTTGATGGGATAGATATTGGCGTCTAACAAATCGTAACAAGTTATAGAACCATGGCCAATTGATGCCCATTCCTATCCCCCCCTCTTACTCTATAATAGACAAAACTATATAAATCAAGTAACTAATCAAGTGAATAATGTACTGGTGAAATTCTAACCCTGAAATCTCCTAACATCTCTCAGGAAGATATTTTTACAGTGTCAGCACTTTGTGAAACTGCTGACGCTAAAAGCTGCTATGGCTATGGCCTTCAATTACACAAATCTCATTGTCAAATTGATCACCATTTGGTCAGCAATTGTTCATGGCTATCATCTTACCTATGCTTTGTAGGAGAAAACCAAATGGGATGATTGTGAATAGTTGTTATTGGGCATTCCTTATGTCATCCCGCTCCCTACTCAGCACCAGTAAGTCATGTGGCGTCCTGCCCGGTGCTGCCGCTGGGGCCGCGCGTGCGGCAGCAGCCACGGCTTTTTCAGCGGCTGATGCCTGGGTGGACCAGGTGTGGGGCCATGGGAAGGGGAATTACCCAACAAAACTGGTTGGTGGTATACCTACCCCTCTGAAAAATATGAAAGTCAGTTGGGATGATTATTCCCAATATATGGAATAATAAAAATCAAGTTCCAAACCACCAACCAGAAAAAAATGACCTCAGATGACTCAGATGGAATCGACCAACTTATATCAGGCACCACTTCGTGTTTCCAGAAATGAGATGACCATGGGGGGGTGGAACACTGTTATGGCTCCGTGATGGACCAGTCAAAAGATGTAGTTCAAAGCATGGCGATGATGGACATGAAAGGATAGCACAGCAACAAGCACTGAACAACTGTTCAAAAACAAGGTCACGTCATAGTTACGGTCCCGCTGTTTTTGCGAGTTCCCAACATGGTCCATGCATAAAATCGACAACCCTTACAAGGTTTCTGTTTTCTCTTTGAGAAACCATCATCCATTTTCGATGGTATTTGCATGACTTTGAGGCTATGAATTCGCAGTTCTACCCATGTTTAGCATCCATGTGCAACACACGTGTTTGAAAAAAACGGACTTTTTTGTCTCAGCACGTGGAGGCCAAGTCAGCCAGCTTCTTCAACGTGTTTGCGTTGCCCCAGTTTGTGCGACAAACAAACGCAAACACGTAGTCTCGGATGGATCCATTCACATCTCGAGTGAGCTTATGCTTGTTGCACAGCTCCTTGGGTGTACCATCTACCATCATTTACCTAGGGACCAAGGTAAAAAACAAATTTTAAATTTAATCAACAAACCCATGGGAACAGGACATCTATGTGCGTGACATCATCAGCGTAACATGAACGTTGACACCCCACCCCACCCCAACCCAACCTCCACGAGCAGCGTAACATCATCAGCGTAACATGAACCTTAACATCCCACCCCACCCCAACCCCCACGAGCAGCGTAACATCATCAGCGTAACATGAACGTTAACATCCCACCCCCACCCCAACCCCCACGAACAGCGTAACATCATCAGCGTAACATGAACGTCAACATCCCACCCCACCCCAACCCATGTTTGCTAAAAACAAGCATATTCCACGGGGCCGTACCTTGGCAGAAAGGGCAATAGCAACAGCGACAACCAGAAACAACAACGGCAGCAACAGCAAGGACCGAAACCAATAATTCAATCAATTGTACCCTTCAAACTTTGCAAGATTTTCCGCCCCGCACAAAAATGAGACAGACTGCAACAAAATCACAGATTCGTTGGACAGCAGGAACGTCCTAAGGTCCCTTGTCCCAAGGTCCCCTGCTGCATCGGTACTTACAGCTGGTTCTCCTCGATAAGTTTTGGGGGCCTGACAAAAAGGCGACCCACAGGGGAAGAAACATAAGCGACAAAACAATAAAGTAATAAAGTCGTACTGGGAAAAATAAAGGCTTGGTTTGGTTTACAATACGTATCAGCAAATTTTGGTTGTTCAACGGGGGCCCCTGCAGGAATCAACCAGTGCGGTATTGGGGCATTGCCGGAAGAAATGATTCAAACTTGGGTTGCTTTAGCATTGTTCAATATCTTTGGGATGTTTGGGTTTGCCATGTCATCCTGAACGGCTTAGGTTTATGCCCAATATTTGGGAAATTGAAGTCATTACCAGTTGCCTTCCCCAGCACCATCTGTTTCTTAACAACGAATTCCCTTAGGAAATTCTGACAGTATATTTGCTGAGGCAAGAGGGGATAACAAAAAACACCCTTCCCAACAAAATCTTCAGTCCATGTTTATCGTTACAAACCAATTGGACAATCCTGCCAACTTAGATCAATTTGGTGAGTCAAGTCGCCGTACTTTGCTCTGGGTTTCTCAAGTTTGGTTTTTGCAACATTAGAACAAGACTGCTAGCATTCAAAGTCTTGAATGCGTTTATCAAAAACAAAGAAACTACAGGTGAGGGTTTCCATAAATGAGGGTACCCCTAAATCATCCACTTTAATTGGATTTTCCCTTATAAACCATCCATTTTGGGGTACCCCCATTTATGGAAACCCCCAGGTTCATACTTGGTTATTTCCCATGAAACAGCCCCAGGAAATCCCCCAGGAAATCACCAAAACATGGTTGGTCAAATCACCATGCTATCAGCATATTAATTTGTTGTGGTGAAATCTGTGTTTTTGACGCTTAAAAAAACCGAGTTTTCGATCATGTCATATCAAGTCCAAAATCCCCGTGCTTCATGGTAAAAAAAGGGGAAAAAATACCCCTATCCCATCTCATTATACTAGTTGGTTGATAGGTTTCCCATGGTTTCCCTACTAGTTGGTGGTCAAATCTGGCCTTTTCTGGCGCCGGCTCCGGCGGTAAAACTGGCTCCGCTGGCTCCTGGGATGCCAAAAGTGGTGCCTTGAATTGTGAAAATCAATGTGTCCACATGGGGGGGGAACATGATGATCCATGGTTTTCTGAAATCAATGGCCATTTATTAGTTATAACTGGTTATAAGTGGGATTATACATTTTATAAATGGGGTTATAAGTACTTGTAACATGATGATCCATGGCACATCATTCAGTTGACTATCCAAACAATCTGTCAGAGGTTATGAAAAAAGCCTCTTGATGAGTGGCCCCACAATGATGGCTAAAGGCCAACATCAGAAGCAAAACAACTGCACATGATTTTCTGAAAGAACTTCATAGAAAAAAAAAACGCAGCTAATAAAGGACAAAAGAACACCCATGGATTGACTTTGAGAGCTATTATAATTATACAATATGTTATAATTACTCAGTTTTGGTCTGAAGCTTTGTGGCTGGGTCTATAGTTGGAGATACACACAAGTGTCTGAATCCCCAGAAATTCATGTAAACAACATGCAACATTTACAGAAACTTCCGGCTTCACCAAATTTCACCAAACTGTGCGATTCTCAGTTGCCAGGTCCGACATGATAGGAATCACCTGTCATAATATCGGGCACCCGCCAAATTCCAAACCACCTGGACCCCAACCACCAATGGAAAAAGCTCACCGTGTCAAAAGGAACGTCGTAGGTCGAGGAGATCATCTCTGGTTGGGAAATTCCATAGCCGTAGCGAAACGAACCACTGCCTTAACTGCCCATTTGGGGAATACGAATACCCCTGGGTACCCCGGGCTCCGAATCGCTCCCTCCGCAGTCGAAATGCTTGATTTACCCATTTTCATCGCATATGGTGGATCTTTCCATAGTTTATAGCCACTCAAAACCACTAAAAATGGAGATGTTCCATAGTTTTTTGGTACAAGGTGGTGCCCCTTCAGTTATAAGATGGTTTATAAACCCCATGAATACTATAGATAGATATATCTACCATAAACCAGAGTTATTGGAGTTATGTTCACCAACTTAGCTAACGAACTGGGGTACCACCTTGTATGTTTACCAGAGGGATATGTCGCACCTCCATAGGTGTGCTGGGTGACGGCACCGGAGAGGTCACCTGACCACAACCGATGGTTTCAGTGGGAAAATAGGCTTGGTACAAGGTGGTGCCCACTACAATTTTACCCACTACCATTGGTTAATAATATGGTTGGTGATAAATCCCATTGTATTCCATTATGTCACCAATTCTATCACCATCATATCCATTGTTGCTACCCATTTGGGTGGTACATCGACTATTTTTAGTATATACCCTCTGGTTATGTCAAAAAAGCTATTGAAAATGGTGGTTTATAGTGGGTTTACCTATTGAAAATGTGATTTTCCATAGTTATCTAAACGTTTACCAGAGGGTAAGTTGGCTTTAAAAGCAGAAACTGTAACTATACATCTATGAAGATAATCACGAACCCTACTTAAATAGATTTATAGTCTTATATACTTGTGTTCACCAACTTACATGAGGTTTGGGGGCACAAATAGTATGAATAATGTATACATAGCGATGAAGGCAACTATCATGGTCAAATATTCTGAGTACCTATATGTGATTGCCTGGATCAATACAAGAAGATTCCAGTGACAACAAACATTTTCAGAAAACACATGGATGTCCTTCAGATATAGAAGGCGCATCTGATGTACTCACAATTCCCACTATGTCTATGAAGTTGTGAACCCCCAAATCCCACTAGTCAACGCATGGAAGGACATGCATCTTCAACATCTGAGAATCTCAGATTTTTTCGAAGGAAGAAGAAACAGGAACAATTTTGGAGATTGAACAAAATTGCCATACAAGTGGACCCGGATAATTGCTCTTTTGTGCCCTCGACCATCCATTTTGGCTGTCCAAGATTTTTGCATCTTGACCCATAGCCGTTTTTTCCAACAGTTTACCTTGCATCAAGCACGTGCACATGGCCAAGCTTAAACACCCTTCAAACAGATAAGCGGCATAGCAAAAATCCTCATTAAAATCATATAAAGTTGGCTATATCCCATTATAACCTCTATTACTGCTGGCTCTATCCCTATATTTCAGCCAAAGATACAGATTTGGCGGCCATTCATAGCCAAAGAAATAGTTACAGTAGCGCACAGTATGCCACTATACCCAGCACCGCTTTTTTCCCCCAATCTTTGTTATTTAACTCTTGGTTGAACCCTCGTCGTTGACGGGCCAAAGTCCTTTCCCATGACAAAGGTTTCAGAGTCAAATCCCACAAACCCATCGGGCAAATCAACCTTTGATCCTTGGAATGTTTATATATATTATATAATCATCAATCACCATGTTTGACCCTTTTAGGAAGTTCTCAAAACCATCAAAAAAAAACGTGTGGTAAAATCAACAAATTTTGTATGGTTCAATCCCTCAAGCCCAGCACTCCCATCGCCTCGCCAGGAAGATCTACTGGTGGCTTGGAATCCTGCCCCCATGGAGTTCATCAAAGCCATGCCGTCACTTGGGCTCCCCTGAGGAAAATCGCTATGTTTACCCTCCAGGAAACTAAGATAACTGCGGAAAATGATCCATTTATAGATGATTTACCTAAAAACACATGTGTTTTTCCATAGCTATGTTAGTTTAATTAGTCATCTGGGATCATGATCCAAATAATTACGCAAGGTTTTTCGAACAACGCAAGAGATTGGTATACAGATTGAAACCACCAAATATCCAGCCTCTTCTGCCTGGAAGCTGTGAACTTGTGTAGGGGAGAGGAATTCCACTGCTTCCTGAACATCTGCAGAGCATGGTGACTTCCACTGCAGAAAAATATTAGAAAACCCACCAGATTCGTAACACAGCCAGGATCAATCGTATCCATTACGTAGGAAATCATCTTCCACCACCTTGAAGGCTTCCACACCGTTGCACCATCCCCAGCCGTCGGCCCGTCGCCAGGTCATGATACTCCCATGGCATCATCTTGTGCGCCGTGGGCAGATCTTGCTGGTGTTTCCTGGTCAACTATCAAGTGAGTTGGAACAGTCATGCCATTTAGGAGTAAAAGCAAGTTTGCGAATTACACCGAATTACATACGTAAATGTCATGATGTTTATAAATATGTAAATAAACATTTAACTTATATACATACATATATGAGCGTAGGATAGTGTAGGAAGTTGTTCACATATCTAAAATACCTGTCATAGAGAGTTACATTTTTTTGGCGGTTGACATCTTGCAGAATCCTGAAAGCCCACCCAGCCCAATATTTTGACGCGCATCTTCACGCATCTTCCTGTCCTGGAAGGGGCTCCCAACTACCTCCGGCGAGAAGAATTCCACTTCCTGCAAATTCCGAGAACAGTCATGGCATGGGGTGGCTGAGTTTAACCATCATTTGGGACTGAACATGGTGATTTTTACCACAAGCAATGGAGGGGTATATAAAATATGTATATAAGCAACTATCTTCAGTTTGGGTGTGTCTGAAAATGGGTCGAACCCCATGCAATCCCTTGGCTTTTACTTCAGAATAGCTGGGATCTATGGATGCATATCCCCCTAAGAATGTGTATTCATAGGTATTGATCCATCGCCATATCACACAGTCGGCCTAGTCCAATCTGATAGGTGCATTCATATACCATTTGACCAATACCAGATTACCAAATAATCCATTTGTAGGTATAAAATGGTATAAATAGTCCAGGTTGGAAACCGAACCCATATTCTTGAAAAGACAAGCAAGCAACAAACTTTGGTGGTGCTGTCAAGTCCCATGCACATATGAATGACAATCACCCAGAAAAGCCTGGATCACGAGCCCAGAGGCTATAAGATTCTGGGCTATACTGATGCATCCTGCTTCCATGATACCAAACCTCATCAAGATTGATCCCCATTTCTTGCCGTCCAAATCTCGATAAAATTATGTTGTTTACCTTCCTGTAAATCAACATAGATGTGGAAAACCCACACTTTTTATAGATCACTTTTTATAGATCACTTTCTTGTCCAAAAATCTATGTTAATTTAACCCCAATGTATCAACACGTTTTACATGTAAAATGCCCCCCATGACATCCCTAGTTCTATCTGCAGCACCTCCTCATCGTCCGGAGATACGAGGACCGGAGTATCAAGGGCGGCCTGAGGAGGTCCAGCTGGACATGGGGTAGCGCTTCAAACATGGAAGAAATGTATCAGATTACCCTCTGGTAAACTTACAAAAAACTATGGAAAATCACCGTTTTCAATGGGATAAAATCAACTATAAATGGCTGGTAAACCAACATAACTATGGAAAATCACCATGCTATTAATGGGAAAATCCACGATTTCTATGGCCATTTTCAATAGCAAACTGTTAGTTTACCAGAGGGTCTTCTCCAATAACATGATTTGGTAATACTGGATCATATCCCAATTGAATCTCATTCAATGACCATATATTAAACGCGGATAAAGCTGGTCATGGGACAGTTTGCTATGGAAAACCCAATATGTTTAATAGGCTTCATAGTTAAATATATAGCTAAATCAAACATTTTCCATAGTTTTCCATATGTTTCATAAGTGAAAACCCATATAGTTAGCTAGTTTAATATTGGAAAACCCATATGTGAAACATCTCAAAGTGGACCGTTTTCCCCGTGATTCACCAACTACAGATTCAGGTGGCATCTTGATAAGGGTGACCCTGGTGTACTGAACTGATATGCAAAAAATGTATATATGCATATAATTACATAGCCAATATGTATGTGTATATATATAATATATGATATGTATATATATAGTTATATAGCTTATTACTGATAGGTACAACTTTAGATGAATCGATTCTGTGACCATTCAACATCTGTCAACTTAACCCTGCGCGGCGCACTCACGGTATCCCCCATGGATTTACAGCCCGTCCTCCTGTCGTAATCTTCAGGATTGGATGCAACAAAAACGTCATGGATTTCTTCAGATTTCACGACATGAATAGTACATCAATAATCCAAGCCAGTCTCGGTCTCATAGGAATGAAACATCTTGGACCCAAACTTCAGTTGAATCTTTCGCGAAGGGAACTTCCGCCGGGGAAAGGAATTCCACTGCTTCCTGGCGGTCGCGACATGCCAATTGGCCAAAAATCTGAAGGAGCTTTAGGACCAGAATGGTATAGGAAACATAGAACTGCAATGGGAAAATCATCTATAGAAAATGAGAGAACCATTGCCATTGAACTTCATTGAACCATCGCCGGTTTTCAAATCTCTTCAGGAAAGGAACCCCAGCAGAAACTGTCCAAGAAATCTCCAGCACCTCGTCTTGGGACAACGGCCGCATTTCATCGTCCCCATTTTGCCCTTCGCTGTGTCCAGCTTCCAGATCTTCCAGATTGGATGTCTCCTGGGAGCTTTCGACCTATCCGACCTATCTAAAGGCCTAAAGGCTAAATTAGTTCTTGAGAGTACTGATTAGTAATGGTGGAATGGGAATTTCATGGAATTCAATGGAATGTAGCTGGCTGTCAACTGGCACATCATATCACTACGAGGAGACGGGAAAAAAACACCGTTGAATCCCTTGCTGTAATTCATCTGAAGGTTGTACAAAGCCATATCTATTTTCACCTGGAAAAACGATGAGAATAAACTACTATCACGGCCGATCATGGACACTAACAGCAAGTTTTTAATCTCCAACAGACTCTAACAAGGCCAGCAAGACAATGTATACCGTGAAAAGCCACCATTTATATATAATTTATATAATGTATCTTATTAATTTATGAGGGAAAAAAACCGCAGGATCGTCCCGAAAAGTGCCATAAACTCTCCCATTCACCAAGCACTTGGGAGTCATTCGACATCATCCCAGAGGTATCCTCAACATTCCTCAACCATACGCCAGTGCGGATGGTTTATGGCATTGGGTTTAACATTATTTAACATGCTTTAACATGGTTTAACATGCTTTAACATGGTTTAACATGGTTTAACATGTTTTAACATGCTTTAACATGCTTTAACATGCTTTAACATGGTTTAACATGGTTTAACATGCTTCAACATGGTTTAACATGTTTTAACATGGTTTAACATGCTTTAACATGTTTTAACATGTTTTAACATGTTTTAACATTGCTTAACATGTTTTAACATGCTTTAACATGCTTTAACATGGTTTAACATGGTTTAACATGGTTTAACATGCTTTAACATGTTTTAACATGTTTTAACATGCTTTAACATGGTTTAACATGTTTTAACATGGTTTAACATGTTTTAACATGGTTTAACATGCTTTAACATGCTTTAACATGCTTTAACATGATTTAACATGCTTTAACATGCGTTAACATGCATTAACATGTTTTAACATGCTTTAACATGCTTTAACATGGTTTAACATGCTTTAACATTCTTTAACATGTTTTAACATGCTTCAACATGCTTTAACATGCTTTAACATGCTTTAACATGTTTTAACATGCTTTAACATGCTTTAACATGCTTTAACATGGTTTAACATGCTTTAACATGCTTTAACATGATTTAACATGGTTTAACATGCTTTAACATGCTTTAACATGTTTTAACATGCTTTAACATGCTTTAACATGGTTTAACACTAAGCAACCAGTTATAGGAAGTGAAACACCCAGATCCACCCAACAGTCGTTTTTACAGCGACGCTCCTGCAATGGACTCGCACTCGCGACACTCGCGGTTCGCCGCGCCGCTGGCACTTCAGCCAAGGGGAAGAATTCCACTTCCTCGGGGCAAAGTAATTATCACAGTTGAGGACCGGTGGTGGGTACGGACCTCACATTCGACCCTACCGCAGCCTCACATTCGACCCTATTCCAAAAGAACCGCACGCACCCTCACATTCGACCCTACCCTAACAAAAATACGCAACCCTTCCAGGAAAAAAAACAACATTTCCCGGTTCACATTTGACCCTACCCCACTTTACCCTGCCTCAAACCAGACATCCGTGAACCAACCCCCCTTGAACAATTACATTCATTGCTATCAAATCAACCAGCCCCCCTTGAACAATTACATTCATTGGTATCAAATCAACCAGCCCCCCTTGCACAATTACATTCATTGGTATCAAATCAACCAGCCTCCCTTGAACAATGACATTCATTGGTATGAAATCAACCAGCCCCCCTTGAACAATTGCATTCATTGCTATCAAATCAACCAGCCTCCCTTGAACAATGACATTCATTGGTATGAAATCAACAAGCCCCCCTTGCACAATCATATTCATTGGTATCAAATCAACCAGCCTCCCTTGAACAATGACATTCATTGGTATGAAATCAACCAGCCCCCCTTGAACAACTACATTCATTGCTATCAAATCAACCAGCCTCCCTTGCACAATTATATTCATTGGTATCAAATCAACCAGCCCCCCCTTGAACAATTACATTCATTGGTATCAAATCAACCAGCCCCCTTGAACAATTACATTCATTGGTATCAAATCAACCAGCCCCCCAGGAAGATGGGAGGGGAAAGGCAGCAAAGGTAAAGGAGATGGTGGAAGACAGATTGTGTGAAAGAGCTGTGCGTGACAAAGTTGTATGTGACAAAGTTGTGTGTGACATCATCATCATCATCATCACCATCACCATCACCATCACCATCATCACGATCATCCGTCATCATCAAAATCGTCACCATCATCATCATCATCATAATCATAATCATCATCATCATCATCATCACCATCATCACGATCATCCGTCATCATCAAAATCGTCACCATCATCATCATCATCATCATGATCATCATCATCATCATCATCATCACCATCATCACGATCATCCGTCATCATCAAAATCGTCACCATCATCATCATCATCATCACCATCATCATCACCATCATCACCGTCATCATGATCATGATCATCATCATCTCCGGGACCCTCTTTTCGCAGCTAAAAACGCTACTTTCTCACATTCGACCCTACTCCAAAATGGGGGTAGGGTCATATGCGAAACCATTGGGGTAGGGTCAAATGCGAGGCGCGTACCCCGGTGGTGTCCCTATGATATATGATGCTGATACTGTAGATGATGTGCGATGGTTGCGAAATATGATACTAATCCTCAATATGATGTGATATGATATATGATACTGTGGATGGTTGCGAAATCCTGCACCAGTTGATAGATGGTTTATCCCATTATTTATAGGGTTTCTATAGGGTTTCAACCATCCTTTTGGTGGTGCAGGATTTCGCAACCACCCACCGTATGTCTGTAGAAAAATGCGGGTTTAACCAACTTAGAACTACTGTATGTATAATTGGGCGGGAACCTTCTGGGGATCATCCTTAAAATGCCGAATCAGCAAAACTCACATGACCAAACTTCGGGTGTTTCGAACTTAGCCACTGGTTATAGTAATTTATAGACCGACCAGTGAAAAAAATAGAAGGAACTGTATACCATTGTATACGTCATAACTGTCATAACTTTGCATCACAGCATAATCATTGCCACCCCTGGATACCTTACAAAGAATGACAAATTCTTTGCTGGTGAACGTAGATAATCCCATACCAAAAGACTATTTAGGATTCCAGGACTAGTTTGTACCCATCCAGTTGGTTAATCTAGTTATAATCCCAATCCCATTCTTCACCAATGTTTCATAGGTTCATCCACAGTATCATCATAGTTCTTCCATCCATAGCATCACTGATCGTTATATAATGATAATTAATGGTGATTTTTATGGTGTTCTCCATGGTTAATGATGGTGAAATCATCATTTACCCTCTGGTAAACAAACATAGCTATTGAACATGGCCATAGAAATCGTTGATTTACCCATGAAAAATGGTGATTTTCCATAGTTATGTTGGTTTACCAGAGGGTCATGAAATGTCCCCATTTTTCACATCACCCAACCAAAATCGGTATATGGATGTATATGGTCTATTTCATGGCTACTTTTTCAGGTGATGTCCAATATATCCAAAATGGGACAGGCAAACCAACCCCTGGTTTACCATCCAAATGGTCAAAATGGTCTCAAGTCGCTTCTGAGGATAGCACCTCCGGTTGCTCTGGGGCTGACCCTGCAGCTTCAGTCTCCTCGTCGTCCCATGTTGAAAGCTGGAAGTGTTCGTAAATGGGTGGAAAACAAACAGTTATATATGGAATACTTCACTCATCTATGGGATGAAACTAAATACGTAAATATGATTAAATTAAATGTGCTGAAATATGATTAGATATGATTAATTAAATCTGATGAAATATGGGTTTAATATGCATTATCCAAGAAGTAGGGTTGAACATCCCAACCCAAAAAAACATAGTTGAAAAAACAGCAACTGGATGCTGTGGTATATGTCTCTGTCATATTTAGGTGCAGGTTCAGCTATGTAGCCTTGCATCACACAAGCCACATGGATCCACATGGTATCTCATGGTCAGCCGCTGCGGTCTCCATTTCCGCGAGGTTGAGGTACCCTCTAAACTACCCTCTGGTAAACTAGCAGTTTGCTATTGAAAATGGCCATTTATAGTGGATTTTCCCATTAATAGCATGGTGATTTTCCATAGTTATGTGACAGTTTACCAGGCTGGGTAGATCTGAATAGAATTGGTTTTGTCACAGGTCGGAAACTGCCACGAAGGTTTTCTGATGCACCTGGGAGCACCGCACGGATTCTTTCCATGGGAGTTTCATTGGAGTCGGAGCGGTTACCATTTAGCCTCTGGTTAATTAATTTGTTGGATCCAACCCCGATGACTGCCAGGGTCTATGTTAAATTACTGGAGGGTATCTTTTCCTCCATCCTTTAGATAGATAGATAGATAGATAGATAGATATATGTATATATATATATATCTATATCTATATCTATAGCTGACCATTGGTTCCCATCACGGCACCTCCACACGTAATCTTTTCGAAGGCGGAGAGCTGGACTGTGGAGAGGGCCCCGGAAGGCCCTGCCAGGATTCCGGAAGATTTGACGAAAAATAACCAGTGATTTTGAAGCGTAATCATCAATAACCACTAGTTAATATCAATATGGTTATTAAACAACTACTAGTTACTTATTATTGATATGGGATATGGTTGTTTATCAATTGCTATTAATATCGCTAATCAGTAACTAGATAATAACTACTATTACCTCTAGTAGTTGTTTATCAAATCGCTATCTATTCAATAACCATGGTTTATCATATAACCATAGTTAACAATATATTAATCATCAATAGTAGTTTGTCATGGTTAATATTGATCATTGGTTAATAATATTAAGCACCTATATATATATATATATTAATACTGTAGTATTATATATATCCATGTGTGGTTAATTATCAAAATTCATAATTACCACTATATTAATCATCAATACCTAGTAGTTACTCTCCAGTAATTAACATAGACCCTGCCAGATAGGGGTTGCAAGATTAGTTTCCATTACAAATTGGTGATTCCCAGGGTCTATGTGTATTTACCAGAGGGTATACAATTGATTTAGCCACTAAGAACCAATGGTTCTGAGCGTTTCCAGCAAAAAACAAAAACAAAACTTCTTATCAGCCAATCTCTGCAACAAATATGCCAAATGTGGTTGGTAACACAAAAGTCTCATGGTTTCTGTCATATCTTTAACATGCATTTTCTGGATAGAAATTACCCCCCTGGTAAATTAACAGTTCGACCCTGAAGATCACCAATCTTGAATGGAAACTAGTCTTCCAACCCCGATGACTGCCAGGGTCTATATTAATCTGGGTAAATTACAATATTTCACTAAGATGAACTAAGGCCATTTGGGGATGATTTCCCGTATTAACCATGACTGCAGTGAGGTCGCAGTGAGGTCGCTATAATTTACCCAAATTAATATACCAGAGGGTACATTTTGGGGCGTCTCTCTCCACTTTTTCTTTGCGAATGTTGATCCCACTGGGGACGTGTCTGCTAACCTATCCACCTGACTCGAACATGAATATTCCCATCCCCGATATTAAAACACCCCTACATTATCCAAAATATAAATATGTAAATCCTCACTGAACCATACTGAACCATGGTTCTGGTGAGTGTTTCATTTCAGGGGATAGGATTAGATCCATAAAACATGGTTTCAATTGAGAGGTACTTCAGATTCGGCGGAGAGGATTGCAATATCAAAGGAAATGCCTTTTGACCTTGCACATATATTGCTGGTGCAACAATGTTCACTATCCGATCCTGATTGTTGCTAATACTACGTACATAATATATCTAATCCTCTTTTCTGGGAAAGAATTGAAAATCATGGTACCCCCTGGTAATTTAACATAGCTATGGAAAATCACCATGCTATTAATGGGAAAATCCACTATTTCTATGGCCATTTTCAATAGCTATGTTAGTTTACCAGAGGGTAGATCATGAAGAAAACATGGCACATTGATCCCTTCCACAACAGCCTGACCTCGAAAAATGCTGCGCCAAAGAGATCCTCCGCGGTTTCTGCGACACCAGAACTGCAGTCAGCTGTCGCTGTCTCTGGCGCCTCGCACGGTGATGGATATTGGGCAAAACAGGGACTGCTTGGTGGTTCCAACATGTTCCAACTATCATTAATCATCCCAAATTCTTCCCAGTACACCAAACAAATCATTATGTAATCCCAAGTTCTTCCTAAATAAAGTCAGGTATTTCTTTGGTGAACTGGCTCACAGTTGCTACTTTACATGGTCTTCATGGCAAAATAAGCTATAAAACTGAACTTCAAGCCGGAAAAGTAAAAGCACGGGTCGCACAAGATTTCCGAACCACGGAGCATGTGAAGCTAACATGGTGGATTTCCTGATGGTAGATTCCACATGTCGACATCTACCGGAATCTACCCAAGAAAAACTTCAACAACCCTGGCCACTGCAAAAAGTGTTGGCAGGCACCTTCAATAAGGGTTCCAACAGAGTTCTCCCAAAGGGATTCAATGGTATTTAGAAAATGTCAAGTCAGGATGAATTTATTACACCCTCCCAATTAACCATACATATACCTAGGATTGCATAGGGGTTTATTCATCCGGTCTTGCCAATATTTTCATGCGAACACTTTTCAAGCAATCCTAGAGTCATCCCCAAAGATCCGGGTTTCGGGCATCGCCAATGAGACACTTTGCTTGCTGAGTCACAATGATAGGATGATACGATGAAAATCAATGAAACGATCAATCGTTACTTAGGTGGTTGATCACCAGCAGTGGGGTACCCTCTGGCAATGACTAACAGTTTGCGAACTGGAACATGGCCCATTGAAATAGTTGATTTGCCCATTAATAGCATGGTGATTTTCCAGTTCGCTATGTTAGTTTACCAGAGGGTAAATGAGAAGCAAATGCATCTAAGCACAACAAATCACTAGAAGAAATTCAATTTCTGTGGCCATAATCAGCGCCAGGCGTTCCTCGCCTCCGAGTTTTTTGGAGCGTCCTCTTCCGGAGCTTCCTGCACAAGCCAAACACAGACTGGGATGGTGAAAAGGGAGGATGTGATAGTCACTGGATTGGTTTGTTGGGGAAAATCTTAACCGGAAACCATGGTTTTCCCCATGAAATGTAGGGTTTCCTGTAAAATTTCCCTTCAACCAATCCATTGAGATAGGAATTCACCTGGAGTTTCATCAAATTATACCAGCAGAAGACAGTGCAGTACCGTCATGGGAGGCGATGGTATGGAAATTAGGATGCACATACATCAATGACAATCATGGTCAAAGAACAACAACGAAAACATAGTAATAATGATTATAATTAGTATTAACCTACGCTAAGACAAATACCGATATGTCCATGTTTATGCACCAACGAAACCCGGAACCCGAACAACACTAGGGATGTTTGAACTCAGGGCATCAACTGTGGAAGATTTCTTTTATCAAGGAATCAGGGATCGGACAGGAACACCCAACCAATCCAAAGTCAGGTGATGCGATCATCATCAGTTTACCAAAGGCTTAGAGGGTATCATCATAAACTCCATATATATAATTATATATATATATGATTGTATATGTATAGATTTCCCCTGAAATATCCTCATTAACTTCATCCATGTTCACACGCCAGTTTAATCCTTCATCCCCCTTCTGACTGAAATTTGTTCATGCTAATCGCAGCTGCCGTCAACCAGAATTACTTTTCTTCACAGATACCCCCCAGCATCGTGCCCCTACTTGGACCCTACAACGCATCTATTGATGGATTAAATGCGGGATGCTGTCAACTACCTTAAATGTAGAGTCCTTACTTTGCCAAGTTTTGTTTGCACCCATTAAATTGGCTACAGTAGGATTGATAGCTGCGGATCGATGGTCAAAGCGGTTTGTAAACAACCTGATAACTTAGGGTCAACAAAAAATGCCATTGAATCTCCACAGGATTCGGGATCTTGCATTCTTCAAATGCAAATATGGCCGATTAACCTATAATGCTATAGCTTGCTATAGCCATAGAGTTGGCCTGCGTTTTGTTTGCTGAATCCTACACCGTAAACTTCAATTTCCAGAATCCCACCCATATCTGCTGTAAATTCATCCAAAAAATCCATACCACATAATGTTTCAGCAATAATCAACCATATTTTGATGGCTTAGAGTTTATACCACCCCTAAAAATTGCCAAATTTCAGGATGGTGGACTCAGATCCTGCTCCACATCCCATGCTAGGGATCTCCATCCGCCCCCCCTTTTTTCATCTCAGGAGTTGCTGGTAGAGTCCGGGCACATTGGCCGCGCCGGCGCCTAAGGCTCGTTGGCAGGCTGCGTTGAAGGCCCTTGGGTTGTCCATAAAGAGCTGGTGACCTGGACAGGCTTTTGGTGACCAAATAGGCTATGGTGAAGGGATGGTGAATGGGTGGTTAATGGTGGTTAATGGATGATGCCCCAGTTTGGAATCGCCAAGTTGGTGAACATAACTCCAGCAACTTGGGTTTCTGGTAGATATATCTAATGATTGGTTACTCCACCAACTAAAAAAAAACTAGGGGGCACCACTGCCTGCATGCTGTGAGTTAAATTTCCCAACATGGCTGGGAGATCACATATGGAAGTCCATAGCTGGGAAAATCATGTATATATATATATATATGGGTAAATTGTAATATTTCACTAACCTGAATCTTGCGGCCATAAAAGGGGATGATTTTCCTAACATAAACCATGATTTCCAGGGCTCGGGAGAACAGGGTTCGCTCGTGATCAAATTTACCCATATAATATATATATACATACATATATATATATAAATACACATATATATATACACGTATTGGGTCTTCCAATGCCATGTTTGATTGGATTGATGATTACTGGGGTGGTGTTTTTTTATGCAATTTAAACCTTAGAATTGCGTGTGATGATGGCGACGTTTTTTTGCCTCAAGAAATCGGGGACTGGGAGTCTGGGAGCTTGCGAACCATTGACCAACAAAACATGAGGATTGAAACATGGCTATGAATCAATACCTATTAATACCATTTTTAGAGGGATGAACATCCATTTACCAGCTATTTTTATGTGAACTACAGGGGTACAAGGTTTTGACCCACTGCCACATAAAAACAGGGGGTGAATCCAAAACCTGGCCCTACCTGAAGTGGGTGAGGCTTTCGCAACAAAAAAATCTGGTTGGTGGTATACAATGAAGTTAATATATGGTTATTTTATGGATATTATATGGTTATTATATGGATATAATGATGGTTAATAATAAACTGGTTGGTGTTTGAGCCCTACCCCTCTGAAAAATGATTGAGTGAGTAACAGTTGGGATGATGACATTCCCAATATATGGAAAGTCATAAAACATGTTCCAAACCACCAACCAGTATTCAATTTAATCACCTTAAATTTTAAATCCCCATGAAAATCCTTTAACTCCATTTCAGCATATCTACATCCCATGAAAATATATGAACTCCGGTCGAGTCACCTGCATTCTCCACCACCATGACTTCAGTCCTTCGCCCCAGCTGATGCGCCAGCCACGCCCCACCGCTGGCGTCCATCCAGTCGGCGTCTCCGTAAAGCAAGGTCACCTGGAGGTCGGGAGCCGAGTTCGGCCGCGACATGCCGAGAAATTCCGAGAAATTCGCCACCAAACTTGGGAGTTCACCGGTAAAGATATGTACAGCAGTACCCTCTGGTTATGTCAAAATAGCTATTGAAAATGACCATTTATAGTGGATTTTCCCAATTAAACATGGTGATTTTCCATAGTTATGTTAGTTTACCAGAGGGAACCCTCTGAAAAAAAAATAACATCGCTATGGAAGATTGTCATGATTGTCATTTAGTTCGTTGATTCACCTACTATAAGCGGTGATTTGCCATAGCTATGTTGGTTTACCAAAAAGGGGAAATGGTTTGTGACCCATTTTTGCACTTGGGATGCCTTGGGATTTCACAAGTAAAAATTTGGTTCAGGAAAAATACTCATCCCAGAATCCCAGAAATCGACAAGTGGAGATGTAGACATTGAGAATGAGGCATTTCACTATATTTCACTACAAAACATATGCGTATCCCAGTTGGCAAATGGTTTAGGATCCATTTTTTATGGTTTGGACTTGACATCGCATACCAGTTGTGTTTTGCACAAAAGGAGCATCAAGCGAATCCCACAAGATCCCACAAGTACATCACATGGTACGAAACATTGCATGTAGAATTAAACGCGGAATATGTTTATGCTTGTAAAATTGGTTGTCATTCCGTAAAGGGGCTGCCTTACTGATATAACTGGTATTTCGTGCCATAACCAGGGAATTTGACCCTCCTTTCCCTCCGGTTACACCGTTACACCATCTCAACTCCGAGCGGCAGGTGGTGCTCGCTCTAGGGCGTTCAGCGTCTGTGCCAGACGTGGGGCTACGGGAGATTTGGGCCAGGCACCAAAATGCAGCAGATCTCCTGGAGTTGCACCATCTGAGCTATGGTCAATACTCACTATATGGTTGATGGTCATCCCATCCATAATAAGGATCCTTATAATGGTTATTATAAATCCCTATGAACCATTGGATGACTAGCCCCTATTAATGGTTAATAACCATGATTATTGACCATAGCTCATCTGGGGATGGGGGGGATGGGTTTGGGGATGGAGTTTGGACACAAAAACCCTCTGCGAAGCGCCACTCTTGATCGACTTTTAGTGGGAACAAGAGGTAACAATAGTGGAAAAACACCCACACTTAGAAATACCCTAAAGAATAGGCCCAATGCCGCCGCCAATGATAATGAGTGATGATCATCCCTCAAATTTGGGGAATATCTCCTGGAGGACCAAGTCTTCACCCAACCTGATCCCCATCCCCACCCATCCCCCCGCATTGTTAACCAATAGTAATGGACTTTCTAACCGTAACCAGAATATTTTACCAGTATTCACCACATTGCTAACCACTACTAACCACTTGCTGTTAACCATTCTTAACCATTATTATATAACCAATTATAACCGTTATCAACCATTATCAACCACTATGAACCCTTATCTTATTAACCATTACATACCATTACCATTCATGATGGGTTAGCCCCTCCACCCCCCCAGGCGCTCCCAAGCACTGTTCGCTTCCACGTGGCCGCTGCGCCAAGCGGTGCAGATACTCCGCGGTGGCGCCGACGTCGAGCTCCATGGTGCCATTGGCACGGGCGAGACGGAAGCGGCGGTCCATGTACCAATCAGTGAGCCAACCGCCTCAGTTGGGGATGGGATATCAGTTAGAACACCTATAATTATAGATAAGCTAGTAAGTATAATCGACTTATGGTGATTGATGGTGATTGATGGTGATTGATGGTGATTTACCCTCTACTAAACTAACTGCTGTGGAAAATGGATGAACATGCTGATGTAAAGATGATTTACCTATAAACATTGTGATTTTCAGCAGTTGTGTTAGAGGGTAAGTTATAACATCTGGTGTAATCAACTTATGTCCTTTGGATAACTGGGATCGTTGACAAAAAAAATCAGTTGACTAGACAATCGAATGCTGCAAGCATTCTTCGCCCCATGTGTTTTCTTAGCCTTGGCCGGATTTAACGCCACGAGGCGTCAATTGATTATAGCCCATGGGATCCATGTATGCTGCCAGATATGGTAACATCTACCATCAATATACCCCAGTCATGTTAGCATATGTACCAGCACCATGGATCCGTCATGGGTAGTTAGGACTGAGTTGTGGATGGGATCATCCCAGCGAGAATAGCGAAGGAACAAGCCACGACCAGGGATACAGCAGGGGACTTGCTGGCCAGGGTTGGATCCGCCGCGATCCGTCGGGGTGATGCTAGGGATATGTAGGGATACAATAACACAGGTTTAAAATGGTTTAAATCAGGATGTCATAGCCCATTGACATATTCTTGTGCAACTAATAATGTACCAGGTACCCCCGGGCTGCATCCCATGAAATAGTGGTTGGTCAATATGAAACTCTCCCGAATACATCAACCAGGTAGGATAACTCACTGTAATCACCAATGAACGGGGATACCCTCCAGTAAATTCACATAGACCCTGCCAAATAAGGGCTTGGAAGATTAGTTTCCACTCAAAACTAGCAATTTGCAGGGTCTCTCTCATAAAATTGATTTTACTGGAAGGTATTGTTTGATGGTTTTCCTGGGATGAGCTTTTTGTATACTTGGAAATCAAGTTCAACACCCTGGGGCATCCGTTGGGATGGTACGACTGGACGTGCGGGACTCACATATGGAATAGCACCACTTAAACATGCAGGGTGGTACCCCCAGGGATGGCTATGTTGGTTTACAAACCCCATGAACTAGTTCGATATAAGCCCTCATCAACCCTAGTGTCAATGGCTTGGTTTAAGGGAAAATTTACAGGAAAATCCCATATTTAATGGGAAAATCTATGGTTTCCTGTAGATTTTCCCTTAAACCAATCCATTGATAGTCAAATTGGAGTCACTGTTCCTGATGTTCACCGACTTGGCGAACGAACTGCGGCACCACCACGAGGGCTTTCTGGAAAAATATAGTCTGGTTGGTGGTTTCAACCCCTCTGAAAAATATGAGTCAGTTGGGATGATGACATTCCCAATCTATGGAAAGTCATAAAATTCCATGGTTCCAGTCACCACCAACCAGTAATCTTTAAAACTCCTTAAGTAACAACTCTGGATCCGGGGCTGCTGGAAGCCATATGTTATATGGGAGACGCATCTCGGAAATCCAACCAACATGTGGTGCTTTGATGGGAGCCAGCGGAGACCCAATGATTTGGAAAGAACCATTGACGTCACCGGGAAATAAACATTATATATAATTCTCCCGAAAACGAAAAAAAAAAACAAAACGTGACTGAGACATCTCGATCTCCAAAATTTGCAGGAACCCCCCCATATTTAATGGGAAATACCATGGTTTCCTGTAGATTTTCCCAAAATTTGCTCAAGTCTTCCATCAATGACCCGTCCCGGGCTTCCCTGGGTTTCCCTGTTGCCAAGCAGCCGAAAGGGCCCAAGCCCCGCACAAAATCCATGGGAGTCCAGCCTGTCTCCCACATCCTTGGAGAGGCAAGGCCCGGGACCATGTGGCCCTCAGATCCCTTGGATATGGAGGTAGATAGGTTATGGCAGCTATGGCATATGAGAATGTGAATAAATTGAATAGATATAATGCAACATAGATGTACGGAAATCATGAAAATAGATAGACAGAAATAAACCACTGGTATATGATTAGTTTGGGACACAATGTGTCTAAACTTTTCAGGGCAGCTAAGAGTGTCTTCTCATCTGGCTGCCACCTGTTTTTGCCAAGCGCATTCATGCAAATTCCATATGCTGACGTCACCAAGCAGCCGTCTCACGCGGAAGAACAGCCAACGTTGCCACCAAGTGAGGGACTGGATGCGTTCCTCTGAAATGCCCTCACCGGGTTTCCTTTCCTTGGATTCGGTGGTGAACGGTGAACTCCTGTGATGGCTTGTAGCATGATCATCCCCATGGGGACCCCAGCAATGGAATACTCAACCCATGGTGCGGTGCTGAAACTCTATGGCCGCCCCCTACAGAGCCAGGAGAGCCAGGTGGCTAACATCCCCACGGGGCTCGCCAGAATCAAGGAATCCACGTGCTGCGGGTACCTGGGCGACTGGGTCTGCTGGCAACTGATGGTTGGGGCACCCTAGAGGTTTCACATCCGAAACAAGTGACATATCCCTCTGGCAAACTATATAACATAGCTATGGAAAAATCCTCATTTTCAACAGGTAAATCAACTATAAATGGCCATAAACAATGGCTATGCTAGATTACCATGAGGGTAGAACTTTAACTCAAACGGACCCCCGTAAAATGCTGTTCTCAATGGGACAGTGCTTGTCCGAACTCGTTCTTGGGGGTCCGTGAAGTTGTTCATGGTGTTCCGCGGTGAAAGCCAGGTGGGGCCATCCGTGAGTGGCATCATCTTCTCAGCAGGGATGGAATAAAACAAACCACTGATTCAAATGAAGCAAGTACAGAGGTCCTATCGGTCTTACTATCATTACAGCAGGGGGATGCAATAGCCGCTAGACTACTGGATTCTTGGAACCTCTGAAGCACCAAAAACATACGCCTGTAACAGAAGCTCTGCAAATTCGCCATGGCCAAGTTGTGGCAAGTTGGACTGCCCCAGAGCACGGAACCCCAGGCATCTTCAGGCTTCAGATTCTTGGCCTGTCATCCTGTTCCAACTGGCAATCCCTTCCTTGGATTAAGTACCACCCTCTTGTCGAAACCCTTGTTAAGCACTGTATCTATTCATTCTCGGGCCCATTTGGAAGGTATTGAAGAGTTGGAGGATCATCTCGCAAATTCTGAATCCTGCTTGGCTCAAACATGTTACTTACTGGAATGGTTATGTACGGATGCCAACCAATACCTACAAAGTGAGGCCCGCTAGTGATAAGTTGGTCCAAAACCCACATTAGCAAAATTTATATCTACAATAAAGCCTGGTTCACCTATTACAATTCCCCAAAAGTGACGAAAAGTGTAAAACCAGAATGCTACTTCGATGATGATTCCCCCGATTTTTGTCCACGTTTCCATCACTTGTTGGATCTTTGACCGCAGTTATGGCCCTTTCTTTTTCGAATGAAAGCATTCCCAAGCTGCAAAACGCAAAGGGAACTGGGCGCAGCAACAAAGTGACAAAATTATTCCATGAACACTAGTTTCCTGGTTGGTGGTTGACCTACCCCTCTGAAAAATATGAAATTCAATGGGAAGGATGACATCCCATATATTATGGAAAATAAAAAATGTTCCAAACCACCAACCAGTTTCCCTCTCAATCGTTGATGTTGGAGATTCCAAATTGTGACAGGATAGGCGTGTCAATGTCATACAAGGTAGCATTGCGGGAAGGCTGGAAAATTAATGGGATGAAAACCCCATTTATGACCACATGGCGGTGTCCTACAAATGGGGGGGGGGGTCTCCTAAATCCCCCAAAATTAAAACCATCTTAGTATTGAAAGCCATGGTGACTTTCTCTCTGCATTTTGGGACACTTCCATGTGTCTGGGTAAATTATAATATTTCACTAACCTGAATCTTGCGGCCATAAAAGGGGATGATTTCCCTTATTAGCCATGATTCCCAGGGCTCGGGAGAACAGTGAGGTCGTTATAATTTACCCAGATTCTATGGTGTACCCTCTGGTAAACTAACATAACTAACATAACTATCGAAAATCACCATTATTAATGGGTAAATCAACTATTTCTATGGCCATTTTCCAGTTCGCAAACTGTTAGTTTTGCCAAAGGGTACCCAGATCAAGTTCAATAGATAAATGATGGGACACTATGGTTTATAAACCCCATTAACTATAGATATATCACCTATAAACCATAGTTATTGGAGTTATGTTCACCAACTGAACGCTATCTATGGGCACCTTGTAACCCCAAATCCTCATTGCTCCATGGCTTCGTATAGGTTAACCATGGTTATCATCCATTATCATCATAATATATCATAATCATCTATAATTTATCCCATTATTGGCTATATAACCATCTATAAATACCAGTTTATAAAACCATAAATACCCATCAAATCTACCGCAACTGGTTTCTAGGGCTGAAAACTCTGCGGATCACCCCAGGTCAGCTCGCCCAGGGACTTCATCGTGTAGCAAGCGGCAAAGTAACCACCGAAGCTGTGACCCAGCAGCACCTGCGGCTGGGGAACTCAAGCGACTGAAACCCAACGGAAATGATGATTTAATAGGATTGTGAAGATTTCATGAGGATTTAACCATCCAAAATTGGGAATTGATGAGGATTCAACCATCAAAAATTGGGACGGGATATCATGGGGGTAGTGAAAATTAAATGCATTACGTACATGAGGCATGCTTGTTCATGTAAGTAATGACCACGGTAGGAAGGCTGGCAGCTAGGATCCTAGAATCTAGGTTCCTCGGGGGAGTAGAAAATGCTGGTTTAAGGGGAGTTCATAGAAAAATATTAAGATTTCTTGGTGATGGTCTATTCGACAACTTACATCTGCTAAGATTTATCCATTACAGATAAGGCCTCAATATGCATTAATGTGATATTGACGGGGGTAAGATGGGATACCACTAAACTATATCCAATATGATCAATATGTCATGGTGATATTCAACTTAGATTACTTTTCTCGAACCATTACTGCACAAATACTTGCAAAGCATCGGATTCGATGGGATATTTGTTCAATGGGAATTTCAGGATCCTAAAATGGAGGTACTGTACCATATAAGGCCATATTTTGGGGGTATATCCCCTTACATAGGCCTTACATAGGCCTTATATATGGTAGGTACCTCCATTTTAGGATCCTGAAATTCCTATTGATTTTTATGGGGGTAAAATGGAATACAACTATATCTGGTTGGTGGTTTCAACCCTACCCCTCTGAAAAATATGAGTTCGTCAGATTGGATCATCATCCCCAATCTGGTTGGGGAAAATAAAATTCATGTTCCAAACCACCAACCAGATATCCAATTTGGGTCCAAGAATTAGAATTACCCAGTGGATCCCAGTGGTTTCAATAGGGAAATCCAGATCAGGTACCAGAATTTGGAGTAATGTCAACCCTGGATTAATAAACCCCTAGGCTGTTTAAATTGGGAGGGTATCATAAAAAAGTATCAAATCATGACTATTGGGGGAATACCCCCTAATTAATAAACCATGGTTTATCCGGGGTTGACATTACCCATCAGTTTCAAAGAGATCCATCTGTCTCTCTCTCCTCGTATTGTCATAGTCAATCGCTCGTAAAAGAGATTCACATGACAGTATATGACAGTGGATAATGACTTCCACTAGCCAAACTGTGATAGGAACCTTAAATCATGATATAAATCGTCCCTTAAGTTTAGAGGCATTTGGAGAATCAATCTACATACCAAAAAAAAAAATCATCAAAAACTGGAAAATCTTCTCCCATCTCCACAGGATGGTGCCCCCCAGTTATAAGTTGGTTTATAAACCCCATTAAGTATAGTTATATCTGCCATAAACCATAGTGATAGTGAAATTGGAGTTATGTTCACCAACTTAGCTAACGAACTGGGCACCACCTTGTAACTGTAGCTGGTGGTTTGGCTCGGCGATTTGGAATCCCAGGCTTCCATTCTACTGGGCATCACGAGTATCCCGGCACATCCAAACCACACCAGCAGTTAGTCATTGGTTGAATGCCATCAAAAACTGGAAAATCTTCTCCCATCTCCAAGTCCATGACTGGTTGGTGGTTTCAACCCCTCTGAAAAATATGAAAGTCAATGGGAAGGATTATCCCATATATCATGGAAAATAAAATTCATGTTCCAAACCATCAACCAGATGAAGATCTCTTGATCAAAATCCATCAGATTGATCTGTCAAGGCACCATCTTGTCGAGGCCCACTGCGCGACGCCAACTCTCAATGCCCTCCACGAAGAACTGCTCGCCTAAGAGAGGGGCAAAGATGGGGCAAAGATGGAGGCTCCCACAAATGCATTTAAGTGGTTACCCTCTGGTAAATTAACAGTTCGACAAAATAACCCATTCTTAGTGGAAACTAATCTTCCAACCCCTATTTGCCACGGTCTATGTCAATTTACTGGAGAGTAGTAATCATTGGAAATTGGAACATATTGCAACTAATTACGGTAATTTATGCTGATTCATGGTGATTCAACCAACGAAAAAAGGAATTGAACCAAGATGGTGAGAATTCATGTTTGTATAGTGAGATATTATTATATTGGGATAATGAGGGTATACCTTCTGCTAATGAAAGGAAATCCCTATATATATATAATGAACATTTGATGGGGAAGATCAATGCAAATCATATAGAGAAATGAGGGATTTTCCAGACATGTTTGATTCCCAGAGGGGATCCTGCTACTGAAAAATGGTAGCCCTTCAATTCAAAAGTCCAGGAGTTTATCAATCTGGGGTTCACATTAACATCATTAACCCATTGAACAACGAGATAACCCATGATAATCCCATGAATGGCGACTTAGACTTACAAGAAAACCGCGGGAATGCTTCTTAGAAAACATGAATATAACATCATGAGAAAATCCTACAACACGATCCAATCCTTAGACTTACAAGTTACTGGACTTAGTGGGATGCTTCTCCAAATGAGTGTGTGCCGACGTTTTTAGAGATGACAGCGTCCACATGTCTGGCCGAAGAACTCAAAACACTCTGCGGAACAAGAGCTCTAATCCCTTTTTTTTTATTACTAAAACTCCCCCAAATAAAAAAATAGGATTGGTGTGACACTTCCGTTTTTTTTTGGTTGGGCACAATTGGATTCTTAATTGTGGTAATTGAGAATCAATAGGAGAACAGGATGGGGAAACAATGGGTTCAACCCCCTATCAATGAAATAGATTGCTACCTGGATGTTTTTTTATTATGGTCCCATCTCACAAGTTTTCTCTATTAATTTTATCATTAAGGTGTTCATTGGAATATTAGGGGAAAGCTTCGAAATCCAGTAAGGGGCAATATGTTAATTAATAATTATATAGATTTTAACAAGGGATTTAGTTAAATTTTCAATCAAGTTTGTAAATTTTCATTGGTGTTTTCATTTAAATATTAGGGGCACCCTAGTACAATATTAATACAATACCCCCTAATGATAAAAATAGATCACCGTGTTTACCATTTGGGGGTGTTTTAGTAATAGGGAGAGAGGATTAGATGTTTCCATAAATTGTCTTCAGTCATTTGTCTTACCCTCCGGTGTCATCAAACGTGGCAATTGAAGGATTTATGAAAATCCTATAGAAATGATATAACAATTACCCTCTGGTAAACTAACGTAACTATGGAAAATCACAATTTTTAATAGGAAAAACTCACTATAAATGGCCATTTTCAATAGCTATGCTAGTTTACCAGAGGGTATATAGAAATGGAGGTTTACAGCTGCGAAAAGCATCGATTCTTTCTGGCACAACTCGACGTCTTTCTGAAAGGCTGAACGGTGTTGTCTTCCTTCCTCTGGGCAAATATATCAATACCCTCCAATAATCAAACGTGGCAATGACAAATCCACCATTTATCGAACATGTTCCCATTCAAACCTCCATTTATCCGGAATTTCCCATTGCCGCGTTCGATTACCAAAGGGTATATAGTAATTTTAGCAAGCTTCAGGGGGAACAAAATACCAAAAAATGTTTATATAGGGTGGTTTCCCATGCCAACCCTATCAACCCTCATCTGTGAATCAGCTAAATCCCCACTTTCCTTTGCTGATTCATCAGCATCAAGTGAGTTCACTCATGGATTTCCCGAATTTTCCCAGCTCTAAACCTCCCTATCCTCCCTTTGCTTCGCCCACTCCCATCTCGACCGTGCTGCAAATCTCCGTCCCCTGACCAGAGGGAAAGTTCTGCTCTCGACAGGACAGGCCCCAGCTGGGCCAATCGATGGCATAGACGTGGCGTTTGTCGCTGAGGGCGTCGAAGCTATGGGACCAACTGGCAGAGCCCATGAAGTATCCTGAAGATGGGACCATGCTTACCTGGTAATTTAACGTAGCTATTGAAAATTGCCATTTATAGTGGATTTACCCATTGAAAATGGTGATTTTCCATACAGTAGTTATGTTAGTTTACCGGAGGGTAACTTACTGCGTGCGTTTTACGCAGGGAATGAGGAATGATCCATGTCATCACTAGTAATAATCATCCCAGCAACCCCCAGCAACCCATCCATTCCCTACGTTTAGCACCAGTAAGTTAAAGAAGTGGATGTTTTGTTCATGGATCGGTGGGTGAAATTGTCCTTGAAATCGTAGCTGTTCCAGAAACCTGCCACCAAAATTGTAATTGATGCCGATTATCGTGTCACTACAATCCCCAACAATCTTCCAATCATTATAAATAATTTTAGCTATATATAGCTATATACAATCCAACGCTTCATTTTCCAGTTACCTGTCAAATAGGTAACCAACCACAAAAACTTGATGTAACATCACCCTCTCACAAGAAACTGGGAGACCAGGGATGATTCTCACTGTGACTGTAGCATACTATAACGCCATATGACGCCCAGCAAAACTCAAATGTTCAATCGCTATGTATAAACCAATGATTATCACTACCACTGACTATAAACACCTCTTTTTTCCCCAAAAAACAAAAAAAGCTTTAATAACGCTTAGTTGTCACCTTAACCACTATTATAACCCACAGATTCTAACTATAACCCAATGGTTTCACCATGTTTCACCATGTTTCACCTAGCATTTCTCCAGGCATCCATGGATCAGCACCACCGGTGCCAGCCCGGCACCATGGCTGTCATGGCTGTGATGAATCGGAGTCGTGGACACGGTGTGCACCGAGCCCTGCGGGATGGCCACGTCGCTCAGGTGGACCTGACGAGCCCTGGGGAGACGTTTAGTATTACCAGCCTACTTGGTGGTTCATCCTACATAGTTTTTGTGGGTTATAACCCCAGTTATAGTATGTTATATTTTTGTTTTATGAATGGAATAGGGTTAATCCACTTATACCATCTGGTTATGACTAACAGTTTGCTATTGAAAATGACCATAGAAATAGTCTTTATAGTGGATTTTCCCATGAAACATGGTGATTACTATGCTATACCATCTGGTTATGACTAACAGTTTGCATCAGTTTGCCATGGAAATTCCACCCATTTTTAATAGGTAAATCATCTATTTCTATGGGCCATTTCCCATAGCTATGTTAAATAACCAGAGGGTAGGGTGAAGGGATTGCCAAAAAAACGATACTGAAGGACCTTTATGTTTTTTTAGCTTGAAAAGGTCTTACCACTTTCGCCCCGCGCAGCGGACCTTGGTCTTGATCCCTTCCAGCATCCTTTGCTCCGCCCTTCGCAAGGCATCAGCTCCTTTCGAACCGAAGACCAAAGTCTTCAGGCGATCGGTCCAGAGACCCAGGCTGGGCAATGGCACCTTGCAGGCATCCAACATGGCGTCGGAGGCCCTGGGCCTCGAAGAGGCCTCTCCTTCGAAGAGGCCCCGAAAAATCCCCCCGGCAGGGAAGGTTTGAGGCTGAAGGGCTGCGGAATGCGCCACAGTTCATCTTTGGCCATGTTTGTGAAGAATTCCGACCCAAACACCATCAGACGCCCACTGTTTGGAACTTCCCTCACAAGATTTCACCCACAAGGCCTCGCCAAGCCATGCTAATGGATCCGAACTTCTCTGGACACCTGGACAAACAAGACCCCAGGTTCAATGGTTAACATATGCTAAAATTCCTATTGCTCACCATTGAATCTCATTCATATCCCATTAAATAGTATTGAGTCACAAAACATCTCATGAATATCCCATAAAATCCCATGAAACCCAATAATTTCCCACAAATTTCGCATATGTTCATCGTGTTTTCCGGCCTTTGTTTCCCGGAAAAAGATCCCCCTTGGCCTAGCAGAGGTTGCCACCGCGTTGGCTCTCCATCGAGCTGCCGCGGGCGCTTTTTTTGACGACGCTTTCCCTTGCCACGGCCTGCAGTTCACGGCTGGTTGGATTCTAAAGGGTTTTACCCTCTGGTAAACTAACATAACTATGGAAAATCACCATTTTCAATGGGTAAATCCACTATAAATGGCCATTTTCAATAGCTACGTTAAATTACCAGAGGGTAATGTTTTTTTTTCAGTTTGATCTTGTTTTAATGGTGTTGAAGGGTTTATAATAGTTCACTAATATTATTTCACTAACCCGAACCTGAATTGTTGGGCCATAACAGGGGATGATTTCCCGAACATAAACCATGATTCCAGGGCTCGGGAGAACAGGCTTCGGTCGTGATCAAATTTACCCATATATATATATAATATCCCATTGATCAAGTGACTTATCCCATCTTTCAATGGATTTCATCAATATAAGTCAACCATTTATTAACCAGATTCTATGGTTTTAACGTCTGTTTCTATGGGGGATGTTAGCAGCCTTCCCATGCTGATTTCATGGGATTTCAAGAAATTCATTGTGAGACGGACCAAGTTGACGTTCACAAATGGTGGTGAACTATGGTGTTTTTTTTGGGCCATGAACTTTTTCCGAAGAAACGCTGGGGTGAAACTACCCTCTGGTAATTTAACATAGCTATTGAAAATGGCAATTTTTAATGGGAAAATCCACTACAAATGGCCATTTTCAATAGCTATGTTAAATTACCAGAGGGTAAACCAACAAACATTAGACCGGGGGCGAGCCGCCTTTTTTGGGTGATTGGTTCACCTCCCTTTGGAGATGGGCAAGTTGGAAACAGGGAAACTAGATATATCATGATATTGATACCCTCTGGTTATGTCAAAATAGCTATTGAACATGTGTAGTGAGTTTTCCCATGAAAAATGGTGATTTTCCATAGCTATGTTAGTTTACCAGAGGGTATATCAAAATTATGTTTGGAACATATACTGGTTGGTGGTTTCAACCCCTCTGAAAAATATGAAAGTCAATGGGAAGGATTATCCCATATATTATGGAACATAAAAAAAGTTTGAAACCACCAGCCAGTATATCATATATCTGAGATACATGAGATATGAGATATATCACATAGTTAGAACATGTTGGAAAATGGATTGATGTATCAAATTATGAGAAAATGAAAATATAAACTCCCTCCAACATCTCCAACACATAAAATGATTTGGGAATCCTTTCATAAAGCCTCTTACCATGGCATGGGTGTTGCGGTATGCTCCAGAGGTAGCCACACAAACCGTGAAGCATCCCAGTAGTCAGGCCCGGCCGCATTGGCCGGTTGTTCCAAGTCAACCCCCCTTGCCATTTTGAACACGCACAAGCTGCATTACATACAACACGTACCCTCTGGTAAACTAACATAGCTATTAAAAATGGCTATTTATAGTTGATTTACCTATTAAAAATGGTGATTTTCAATAGCTATGTTAAATTACCAGAGGGTATCACGAATTATTAGAATTCATAAGAAGCGACCTTTAAAGCATCCACAATTGCCCAACCGGCCTTTACTGCCGACGACGCTGTCAACCTGCCAGGTAAATCACCATTCCAAACAGAAGGGACACACACTATGCTCCCATCAAACGATGATAATGAAATGAAATCATACCTGCATTGTCCTGATTGCTCACTTTCACTATGTTATACTATGTTTTGTAAGGGCAATATGATTATATTAAAGATATTAAAATATTGTAAGCTGGACTTTCATGAAATTTCTATCACCAGAAACCACATAATAGGCCCATAAAATCCGATACCAATTCACCAGGGCTCCAGGTGCCTCTACTGCTTCGGGAGCTGGAGCTGGCGGCTGTTGCGGCTGTTCCTGCGATGATGTATTGATAGTGTACGAAAACTTATGGAAAACCAATGGGTATTCAATAAATAATCCATATATCCATAGATATAGTAAATTTATGATCCATAAATCTATTGGATCCACATTCAATCTTCAATTTATGATCCATAAACCTGTTAGTTCTGGCAATCTGATCCGCTGATGGATGTGTTCTGTAAATCGGCAAGCTGGAGTACACCATCACAAATTGAATATCCAAATTCTATAATGCAAATCCGTAATTCAACCGATGTCGAACACATTCAAAAACTCAAACCCATGAATATATATTAATACACAATATTCGTTGGATGAATCGGATGTGCAATATCTTGACTTTAACTCTGACATATATTAAAGGATAGCTTATCAGCAGCATTGATATCTTATCTTAGTTTGATTGCCGAAGAAATGTGTCAAGTTGCAGGTTTAAAATCTAAGGCATCTAAGGGTATGATTGGATGTGTGATATAGAATCTGGCGACTTTACATCATGCGTGCGGAATGTCAGAAGAGTGTGTGTGGCTGTGCGCGTGTTGCGGTATGTTCCCAAGCATTCTCCGGCAACTGCATCAGCAAGAGTAAATGCTCCCTCCAGACCACTTGATAGAGAATACATATGTCCATATATGCTTTTCAAAAATATGAATCTGGATAAATAAACGTATAATAATGTATCCTATAAATCAAGACCTTGTCTGGATGGTTACCCCCTACAAGTCTCATGATTTATCATGATTTCAGACTCCTGCAAGAAACTTGGCGCTCGATAGACTTCGCCTTCTGCAAGTTCTTCTCCTCGGCAGCACGTTCAACTGGGCGGAGTGTATTGCAAAGTGGTGCCCCACACGCACTTGACAATTATTCAGTCAAGCAGCCCACGGGTCTGGAAACGGTCTCAGCCATACTCCGCCTTGGTCAAGCAAGTGCCAGGTAGAAGGAGGGTTACGCTCCAGTAAGCTTTCACATATGGAGAACTTATCATTTGTACAATTGTGTCAATTCCTGGGGGGTATGTATCATCAGGGTTGTGACTTTTTTAGTGGCACGGGTAGAACTCTTGTATCCCCCATTGACGTTGGGCCACAGAGCTTTATCAATCTTGGATAATTTTAGGCAATGAGTTTAGTATCATCCACTTGGTGCTGTATTGTTCCCTCGCTCATATCTCTCATCATCTGCGGGATTTATCATGGCTGTGCTCAACATCTCTGGGTGCTCAACTAATTCCCCCTACCAAAGTGAGCTGACCGTCTGGGGGCCATCATCCCAGTCATGGTTGGGCATAAAACGATATGAAACCACCAGACTGCATACTGAGCGTCAGCCAGTTGATGTACCTTCTGGTAATCAAACATGGCTTGCTAGAAAATCATCATCAAAAGTTAAAAGATCATTTTCTCAGCTATAAACCTCTATTCATAAGGAATTTTCCGTTGCTATGTTTGATTACCGGTAACTGGAAGGCGTCTCTGCGTGGTACCCGGCCATCACTGCGTGCTCCAAGAGACTTGACCTTTTCGATCTCCTTGTTGGTTCGGATGTGCCGCCTGGGTCGCAGGCGGGATCTGACATGAATGGATTAATTTATGTCCACAATTTCATGGCTTAATGGAATATATGTTCTCCATGATGTATATATATTATATATATCTATTGATCTATCTAATCTAATCTAATCTACAGTAATCTAATCTATCTATCTATCTATCTAATCTATCTATCTATCTCTATCTATCTATATCTATATCTATCTATATATATAGATATATATATATAGATATATCATTGGAATTAGCCCTAGTAGTTTGCAATCCGCGGTGTATAAAAATGGCACATGTTGCCCTCACTTTCCGCATCTTGAATCATTTTGATGTACAGCGGCACCAAAAGAATGTATTCTCCAAGTACAAGGTGGTGCCCCCCCAGTTATAAGTTGGTTTATAAACCCCATTAACTATAGATATATCTACCATAAACCATAGTTATTGGAGTTATGTTCACCAACTTAGCTAACTATGGGGTACCACCTTGTAGTTTGCGGGCAAACGCAAATACTGCGATTCATTGATCTGGGCACGCTAGAATCATTCCCAAACCGCTGGAGGTGTAGTTCCCACTGCTTCCCCCAATCTTAATCATCATCTATAAATTTGAGCCCCCAAGAGAGCCTTGCCATTGAATCACTATTAAAAATGCCATTAAATCATGATGAAATTCCATGAAATCACCATTGTTGGTAACATATATATATATATATATATCACTATACCATCATTGGGAAATCACTATAAAATTCCATTGAATCACTATAAAATCACCATGAAATTTGCTTCATGTACTAACGGTATCGATTTCTCGGTCGTGAAAACATAAAGGGAACATCTGGAACATTTATCGACTCCGCGAATCTGGTAGTTCAACTGGTACCATGGAAAATCACCATGTTGAACGGGTAAATCCACAATTTCGACTGGGCCATGTTCAATATAGCTTTTTGTATGTTTACTCTAGAGGCTATAAATTATAGAGGACTTTCCCATTTTTCTCATTTTCCCATGAAAACTTCCCATGATAATTTTCAGAGTTTCCCCAAGCATTGCCATTGGGCCATCTGTTTACATCCTCATTTCCTGATCCCCTGGGCAAATCCGGCAAGAACATCTCCAACTGCACCTGAGTTGCGAGAGGACCAAGCAACCATCACAACTTGGGATGGTTTTAGATGTTTAACTAACCCTATAAAATATAGAAATCCTCCATGCATGAGATATATTTATGTATATATCAGGGTTCAGATAAGGTAGATAAGGGGGGAGGAGTTGTGCAGATGGTTTTGGTAGATACAAAGCGGAATGCATAGGGTGGATATGTGATATGTATATCATATTCCCTTTTTTCATGCATGAGATTTGGGATGATCAGATAAAATCACCATTTTTCACGGGAAAAAAAAAACCTCTCGGAGGCTCCGAGCTTAGCGGAGCTTCGCTCGGTCTCTCCGGTGTTTTTTGTTCGACATCTTTAAGACCTGGATCCATCGGGCATAATGTAAGTTGATGATAGTTGATGTACATGGTCATCAATTGATATACATGTATAATATACTGTATATATATATATCAATATAAGCCAATATAAATCCATATAAACCATATATAAATCTATATAAATCGATTATAAATTGATCTAACTCTATATGAATCTATATGATTTCCCTCCATACCTGCGACAAGTGGCGTTCACGAAGGCCCCCATATCATCCTTCGCTTCGACGGCTTTGAGTCTCGACTCGCCGTACCAGGCCTCGTCTGGCGTAGGCTGCACAGATTTTCAGACTTTTGGATCAAAATACTCTGCTAAAAAAGTTTACATAACTATGGAAAATCACCATTTTTAATGGGGAAATCAACTATTTCTATGGCAATTTTCAATAGCTATGTTAAATTACCAGAGGGTATGATGGATTATGATGTATATTAACTGGTTGGTGGTTGAGCCCTAGCCCTCTGAAAAATATGAGTGAAAGATGAGTCAGTTGGTCAGTTGGGATGATTTTCCATTCCCAAGTGTTTCTGGAAAGTCATAATCCATGGACCATGGTTCCAGTCAGCACCAACTAGCTCTGTGTTGATGAGTTTTGTTTGGGATCTTCCGGATCGATCCTGGTGCCTTGGGATCCCTCAAACCCTTGAATTTTTGCTCCCAAACATGAGGAAACTTGAGTGTTTTCTGATAAGTGCTCAATTTGAAAAACCATCTCAAGAGAAATGGCCAATCTTAGATACACCAAGATTCCCTGATCATTTATTTTCCCTGGTCAGGATATATATATATATATATATATCCATGTTTATTCCAAAGATTAAACTATTGAAGTTCCCAGGTTGAACCGGGTTGACTGTCGGACATCGTTCCTTTTTGGGCCTCTTGTGCCCGTTGGAGTAGCATATACTTCGTCTTGGGGTCCAGTGGCTCAAACTCCTGCAGGCTGCAGCCGCAAACTATCCATGGCCATGCTGGCCAGGAAACGATTGAGGACGGAGCTACCGATTCAATATATTTTGGGCCTACAGGATGGGGCCCCCCAAGATAGCTAAGTTGGATTATAAATGGCTTAACTATGGTTAATGGGGTTTATAAACCAACTTATAACTGGGGGGGCCCATCCTGTATTTTATGATGGGCTAAATTTCAGGGGATATACCGCCAACATATGGCCAAACATATGGTACGTTTACGTAGCTCCATTAAAATATGGATCCTTCTTTATTCCCATTGAACAATCATCTGAGCAAAAAATGGGTGAAGTAAAGAGGTAAAATATGGTACAATCACCTATGTAATCACCAGAAATGGTGATGGTACCTTTGTGAAATATGGTGAAAAAATGGTGATTACCCATTTCCAGCCTCTTAAGTTCATCATTTACAGTACCTACAAAAGGTTGAAGCAACCCTATTTTAGCAATGGACAATGGATCAAAAGGACCTCGCAAATTGGATATGTGCATCTTTGGAACATGTTAAAACTAACTTTTGGGTTTCGAATGGTTTCGATAATGGGCCTTCTGACGAATATCATTTGCAAAATGAAAGTGGACAAATATAGATCACCTAATTACGTCAGGTTGATTTATATTTACGGCATATGCAAACTATATTATATAAACTGGACATGCAAATGATGTTTGCATTTACAAACTGCAAGGATTTGGCTTGGAAGCCAGCCAAACACAAACACATGGAAGAAAGCGAGGATTCGCTACTCTAAATGACCAGTTTATGTCTGTGGTTTCCATAGCGTTTCGTTTCAAAGCCGGCACCCCTCCCCAGCTACAAGATCATCTTCCAAAGCACTTGCTTTTGGTGCGGTGAAACCGAAAAGTGGAATCATCGAATCACTGAGTGATATCATGACATATCATGACAACAATGTCCTATCTACAGTATATCATCTATATAGGCGGAAAAAAAAGGAGTAAAAGGAGTTGGCTAAATGGAATCGCGCTAAAAAACCACATGTTCAACAATTTACAATAGTAACAATTTATAGTATTTACCGCTAATTACTATAGTAATACCAGGTGAAGTTTTTATCCGAAAATGGTCCCACATGCGAGTTTTTGAGGCTCATGGATTCCATGGATTCGATGGATTGCTTCATATCTGGCTGCCAGTGTAAGAATATGCTACCTCAAAACTGATTGCTAATGAAAGTAATAACCGAATCATGTCCAATTTATTTTGAACATAAAAGCATCATGTCCCATGTTTCCATATGATTCCTAACTTAATGTGGTTTATGATGTGGTGGTATACACCATTTTCAGACATGCCCATATACATAGCCAACCTTGGGTAGTCCACAAAAAGAATCATATTTTGCTGTTTATGGTCATTTTCCATCTACATAGCACAAAAAAAAAAAAAACAAAGGATGAAACTGATTAAACTACCTATCCAGTTGCTTGGGGATGTATTTAGCTGTCTAACACCGAATTCTCTGAATGCCCCTCTCTGACAGCATCCAACCTGTCGAAATTCCCGAAAGACTAGTTATAGTTATATCCATGTTATATATCCCAATCTATCCCAATATTTCCATATAATGGTGTTAAAACAATGCCATAAACCATCCCCCAGTCATCATCATTTTTATAGATATGGAAATCCAATTCCCAGTCCCGGCTGGTAAAAATGGCATTGTTTTCCCCACATGATAATTCTATGCTAATCTCCATTCTTGCCGGTGAAATCACCATTTTCCTATGGTTTCCCCATGAGTGACTAGTGATGACTAGTGACAAGTTATATCCATGTTATACATCCCAATTTATCCCAAGATTTCCCAAGCTTTTCCATAGATTTCCCAAGATTTTCCATAGATTTCCCAAGATTTTCCATAGATTTCCCAAGATTTTCCATAGATTTTCCCAAGATTTCCATGGATTTCCCCATGTTTTCTTCATGGTTTTTCCACATCCCATGGATTTCCAGCTCCTCGAGCGCCACGGGCCCGTCCAAGGGCACTGTGACGACGCCGCCGCCGGGCACAGCATAGCCCTGGAAGGGGGACGCGGATGGGAAAATCATGGGAAAATCCATGGAAAAATATGGAGAAATCATAGAGAACATGTAGGAAACTATGTGGAGAAATCATGAAGTATTAGGGAATGGCTCTGGATACTTGCTATGTACAGTACAGTACTGCCTAAAATAGTGCCAATGCCCCAACTCAGCGTTTTGGGAATGGACCATCTGGTTGTTTTTTTCCAACCAGCAACGATCCGATAGCTGGCTGTTCTACCAACAATATACCGATCAGAAGTGAAATGTACGGGGCCCCCCAGTGATGTTAGTTGGTTTATAAACCCCATTAATTAACCATAGTTATCTATAGTTATATCTACCATAAACCATAGTTAAGCCATTTATAAACAAACTTAGCTATCTTGGGGGCCCCATCCTGTACCCTTGGTAATCACACTTGCCTCGCTGGAAAATCCTCCATGAATGTCAGTTTTTGAATGAGACAATCAAATGTTTGGAACGTTGCCGCACTTCGGCGCTGGGAAGGAAACTTCCGGATGTAGATCTTTACTGATTTTGGCTCGAGATGTTCATTTTAGACTAGAAATTTCCGAGAGGTTCGGATGAACTGGACTCAATGAAATACACCAGTTACCCTCTGGTAATTTAACGTAGCTATGGAAAATCACCATTTTCAATGGGAAAACCATCTATAAATGGTCATTTTCAATAGCTATTTTGACATAACCAGAGGGTACCCCAGGAAAAACCCGCTTGGTTGCAGCACCGGGCCTTCCACTCATCGGGCTGTCGCATGCGACCGTTGGGTCTTCGATTGGGCACTTGCCTTGGCACAGCCGCCATATGGTGATTTAACATGGATTTAACCCCGAACGATGCGGTTTTAAAATTGATTTATGAGTTTATTATGGCCAATAGTTTGGTAACCATTATAATCTGAAACTTATACTTAATTACTTAATTAACTAATTATATAGACGCTCATAGCCGAGGGTTTTAACGCAGAAACCTAATTGACTATGGGGGCGGCATAGGTCAAGTGATTGTTTGTGAGATCTTCAGCAACAAAGTCATTTTTTGGCTGGGCATGACAAATGCCTTCCTCAAAATAACTGAAACCTACTGACCTACTGAAACTAAAGCCACTAACCGACCCAAGAGCACGGAACCTGCAATAGTAGCCATGTTTCTTTATGTTTCTTTTGGCTCGGACGTGGGCGCAACCCTTTCCGACTTCCAGGATTCCACTTCAATGGGAGGTTGGGCCATTGGGTTTCAGTATGTTTCGGTGCTTCAGCCGATCAAAAAAAACATATTCTGAGGGTCTAGCAGTCGAGCCGTGTGTCCTCACGTTTGATCAACGAACTTCCATGAACTCATTTAGCTGTGAACATCTGTGAACTCTAGACTTTCTCCCCCCGGGCCCCAGGCAGCAATTTCTACCATCCGGGTCACAAGATCTCTCGCAAAGGTTCCTGACGTTGGGAAAGCGATGGACGGGAGGATGGGGCAAAGTGCCCAGAAGGAACAGGATCAAAGATTTCAATCACGGAAGCATATTTAGATGGGCCACAGAATTAGCAAACTAGTTAGTAAATGGATTCTAACTGGGATATGATATAATTGGCTATAACCCGCTTACTAGCCAGGAATTGCGAATCCCATGGCACATCTACAAGTAGAACTGTTTTGAAATCCGAATCGCGATCCAAAACACACCACAAAAAGTATTCACCTAGCAGCATCATGCAGCATCACTCTCCATCTTCCCATATATATATATCATTATGTATATACATGTGTAATCATGTGTGGAATTAGTAATTAATATATTTGCTTATTTGTTTGAATTCTCCATGTATTGTCCCCTTGAGAGCCAGATGGTTTTTCTCTCTCTACCTCATGTTTTCCTTGATTTCTTCACCTGTTCCCATATTTGTCCATTTGAGCCCCTACTGCCAACTCGTTTTCACATCATGTTTTCACAAAAGATCCCCATCTTTCCCTACAAGGTGCTACCCCCCCAGTTATGCTGCTGAAAATCCAGCCCGTTAACTAGTTCGATGTACTTACCACATCCATAAACCGCCATGAACCCTACATGTACTTACCAGCTTTCTGATGGTTGCAGCCCATCTGAACAAGCAACGGACCATCCCCAGTCAGACTGATTTTGTGGATGTTTGTTGAATAATCACTGGGTGAATCTGCATTCTTAGTCATCAACAAGCATCCCTCCATTTCTGGCTAAAGGTCACTAAAGGTCCAAATCATTCCAAATCTGTACTACACCTTCACCAAACCTTCACCAAAATCACCAAAATCTTGACCACAGACCACTCAAACCTCATGAACAATTTGAACAATAGATTAACTGATTGACTATACAAGTAGTATCTACCATAAACCCTACTTAAACTACTTACAAACCAAATATCTATCACAAATCAACTCTCAATTCCCTTTCTTCTTGGTGGATGTAAATCTAAAAATATGTCAACGTAAAATTCCCGTTCAATCCACCATTAAGTTAGTGCTTAAATTTCCCCATGAAATCACCTGACTTTTTTCCTGGTCCACTTACAAGAAGTTGCCATTGAAATCCCCATAAAAATCCATAAAAATCCATTAAAATCACCACAAAATCCAATGAAATCACCATTTCCCCCGGTAAAAAGCTGCCGAACTCCACCACTTGCGCCTCGGGCAGCTGGGGAAGCTGCACCTCTGAGACCCCACGGCGCTGCGCCATGAAGCCCCGGAAGGGCTGCGGCACAGCGTTGCCGCCGCGGCGCCGCCGCGACCGGCCTGGGAGGACCCCCGAGTCATCCCCAAATGCCCCATGGTGCTGGAAGATTTACCAACATTTACCCCGAAAATTACCCTAAAAATCACCCAAATGTATGTATATCATAAATATATGCCGTACATGGAGCATATGGGATCCAGACCTCGCCATAAAATGGTTATACTCAAATGGTCTTATCCCGACTTGGCCATAGGAGATATGCTGCCAAAGTTCCTGGTGCGGAAGCCCCAGGCTCAATGGCAACAGCCTCCGCCTCCTCCTCCTCCTAGATGGGAAGGTAAGATATTTTGGGCTGAAGGGATGCCACAATGGGACTGCACATTGAGATTTCATGTGAAGTTTCTATGGTTATATGGTGATTTCATGTTGATCTTATGGTGATTTAGTGGGATTTTGTGGGATTAAATTGTCAAAAGAAGATGGGATACGTATAGCGAAACCGGGTGATTGAACCAATGGAAGTAGGGATTTTTGATGGGATATCCAATTTGGGTCTGTCTATTAAATGGGCTGTATCTCCCCAATATTAAAATATTGCAATTCTAGTGGGGATGTTTCCTGAACGCAATTTCCAGCCGGTCCTCCTCGACCACTTCTTCCGGCACCTCTGCTTCTCGGTCCTGGCTTTATGGTTTCCATCCCCATCGGAGCAGTGTTCGAAACCCGTCTGTTATTCCATTCATAGGGATTCCCCTATATATAAATGATCCCTATAGCCTGGTTGGATTATTATAATCCCCCATGATCCCAATTTTTGGTACATCCCTGCATCATTATACTGGTTGGATAAGAACGGGATTCCCCGTTCTTGGATTCTTATAATCCCCAATATATTGGGCACTACAAGGTGGTACCCCAGTTCGGAATCGCTAAGTTGGGGTTCACATAACTCCAATAATTAACTATGGTTTATGGTAGATATATCATATATCTATATATAGTATTCATGGAGTTTATAAACCAACAAACATAACGTTTGGGGCGGCAACACCTTGTATAATCCCTCATCATCAACCAACAGGGCTCGGTGATTTCTCCATGATCTGAGGGGTGGAGGTCACCATGACCCCGGGTCCCGGGAATGGGAAACTGCAGCACGTTTCTTATGGCATACCCTCTGGTAAACTAACAGTTTGCTATGGAAAATGGCCCATTTGTAGTGGATTTTCCCATTGAAAATGGTGAATTTCCATAGTTATGTTAGTTTACCAGAGGGTAACCAGCTTGCAACCATCGGTCCTTGTTGATTAGTGTGGGTAGACCTTTGGGAATTCAATGGGTGGGTCATGTGATAATGTTTGTTTGCGATGTAGGGCATCCCTGATCTGCATGATATCCCGGTTCACTACGCAAACTCCAGACTTGAAACTCTCATAAATCCCCCACATTCAAAAGAACGGACTATGTACAGGCTTAGGTAGACTAGCCACTCATCAAACAGCCTTCCAAATTGAGGCAAACCTCGAAAAAAATTGTGCCATACATGGGCTGCTGCCAAGATGGTCCAGGGCCCGCTATAGGTTTTGCCGGCGTGCTCTATCACTCCTCCGGCAAATCCTCCGGCATTTCCGGCATTGCCGCCTGTGTGCAGCACAAGTGTTTGCATCTAACTTGCTAAAACATCAAGCAATTTTCATCAAGCATAGAAACCACGGTTCTCCGTAAATCATCATTTTGTTATGGCTAAATCATCTTAAATCATTTGGTATGGTAAAATCAAATCTTTTTGTTTGTTAACTTCCATTTTTTGTTGCTTAAATCCAACGTTTTGTTGCTCGGATCATCCTGTCTTGATGCTTCAATCATCATTTCATCATATTTCATCATGATTTTCTATAGATTTCATGAGATTTTTACATGTCATCATTCTTTCCATCATGTTCAAGTCATCATGTCTCGTTCGATCCCCACTCTTGGATCACACACCTCCGCGCCTCCGCGCCCGGGGTCGCGTCTCCCGCGGCCCGCAGCAAGTGCTGCTGCAGCTGGTTTCGTAGCAAGCGTTCCACCTGGGGCGCAGGTGAAATATGGTGAAATCATACGGACAATCTGGGCAATTTTATCAGGATGGGGCCCCCCAGTTATGTTTGTTGGTTTATAAACCCCATTAAGTATAATTATCTATAGTCATATCTACCATAAACCATAGAATTCAGCCATTTATAAACCAACTTAACGCTATCTTGGAGGGCCCCATCCTGATGGGACAATTCTGGAATCTGGGAGAACTTGAATACGATTTTTCAGGGGAATTTTACTGGATGTTTGGGATTTTATGGGGATTTTATGCGAGTTTTGTGGGAGTTTTGTGGGAAGTCAGGGAGTCAGGGGATTTTGATGGTCGTTCATAGGGATTTAAGCGTTGAACATAGGGATGAAACTATTCGAAATGTGATGTTTGATGGGATTAAAGCATTTCAGCATCAAACATGGAGCATTCAATGAGATTTGATGGGATATTCGTGAAGATACCGCGCACCATTTACATAACTATATATCTATATAATAATAACAATAATAATAATAACAATAATAATAATATTAAATATATATATATATATATATCTAACTAATTCTAGAAATGTGATGTTTGATGGGAGTCAATATCCCATATATATATATATAACTAGTTCTATGGGATATTGACCTTAGTAGGAATTAATGGTGACTTCTCACGGAATTTTAAATGGACCTTAGGGTGAATAGAACTATGATTTGTTGGAAAACGCACACCTCGATTTATGGCCATGTTGGTGGGGACAATGATGATCTTAAGCAGCTATTTATGGCCACATGGCCATGGCGGGAGTTTTTCAAAAAGCGCACTGCAAATGTGGCAAGGATGTCATATTGAAATATATGGAAATATCATATCAAATATGTAGCTGTAGAAGAAACCCGCTATGAATATGCTATAGATGTTGTGAAAGTGTTGCTAGTGTTCTACATCGCCAAAAAATAAGTTAATGGTTCCAGGCGTTCCAGCCAGGTTTTTTCACGCTCCAAAAGAAATGGCAGTTTTTGACGTCTCCAATGCTTCATGGAACATCATCTACCGTTGCAAATATGTTTTAAACATCAAAAAGAAAAGGTATACCCTCTGGTTGGGTAAAAATAGCTATTGAAAATGGCCATTGAAATAGTGGATTTACCCATTAATAGCATGGTGATTTTCCATCGTTACGTTAGTTTACCAGAGGGTAGTTTCCATTGAGGTTAGGATGTCATAATCATGCAATTTTAGTATAGGTGAACCTTATGAATACCTGTGTGAAACAAACATGCACCCAACGCATGTCCAAATCCGGAAGCAAATCTTTATTTCTTCCTGGCCGTTTTTCCGTGGTGCCACATCGTTGGTTTGAATAAAGATTGATTGATTAATTAATTAATTGCAACCAATTCCAATCTAATAGCGGCACTTTCCCCTTGCAAACATGCCCTTTTGGATGTATATACCCCAATTTCAGACACACCTACAAGATAATGCCACCCCCTGTCATGTTTGTCGGTTTATATAACCCCATTAACTATATATAGATCGATATAACATATCTACCATGAACCCTACATATCTATATATATATATATATATGCAAACCAACTTAGCGATCAAACACCAACTATGATTTCCCATCGTTCTTGGTGGAAATCTATGTATACATCTCTAATGTGTCATGGTATATTTTCCTTAAATCCACCATTGTTAGTGCTTAAATTCCCATTCAAACACATTTTTTTCCCGGTTGAATTATGTTGCAATTATCATTGCTGGTGAAATCTCCATTACCCTCTGGTAAACATACAAAAAACTATGGACAATCACCATTTTCAATGGGCAAATCCACTATAAATGGTCATTTTCAATAGCTATTTTGACATAACCAGAGGGTAAATTCCCATTTTTTGTTGGATAAAAACCATCAAAAACCTGACCAAACTGGCGCGTTTCGCCTCACCTGGTTTCATCACTAGGGCACCGCTTTGCGTCGCAGCCGTTCCTCAGAGTCGCGTTGCTTCGCGCGCAGCTGAAGGGTTTTCCACCTCGGTGAAGCTGGGGATGCTATATCCCATTAATATCCCATTAAACCACTATAAATCCCATTAAAACACTATAAATCCACCATGGGAGATGCTGGAAGAGGGGTTACAAGGTGGTGCCCCATAGTTAGCTAACTTGGTTTATAAGTCCAATAACTAGGGTTTATGGGGGTTATATCTAGTTAATGGGGATTATAAAACCAACTTATAAGTGGGGGGGCACCACCTTGTACCCTCTGGTAATTTGTTACAGTCAGCTATTGAAGATGGCCCATTGAAATAGTCGATTTACCTATTAAAGATGGTGATTTTCCATAGTTATGTTAGTTTACCAGAGGATATTAGAGTTGAATATACTTCCATAATCACGTCCCTAAGTCCCTAACTGCTAAAAAAATCCATCCCCATTCCAAGATCTTTGTTTAGGAGTCGGGGATCTTAAAGGACACATCATCACCGACCATGACTGGGGGGTCATTTTTCATCATCCAAAACAAGGGTATGTCCAACTGTAAACCTCCAGTGGGGATGGGGAAATTATTGGGTATATACCATAATAATTGACATCAAATCATCTGGTTGGGGAAATGGGTTAAGCTCAATCCATAACCCTTAAATAACTAGCAATATTTTGAACACAGCCCCCACCTTGGCCGCAGGTTACATGGCCTTGCCCACCATTAGAGGCTGTGTCCAAGGCGTTTTCCATCAAGCGTCCCCTATTCTTGTGCTTGGTCATTCGACATGAATCCAAACATCTTTGCCCACTATTGAATACCTCCCAGCAATGGTCCAAACATCTTTGCCATCTATACGGTCGCACACCTCCCTGTTTGGGAATAAAGAATGGGTTCAGACTACAATAGATTGGGATGTTCAACCAATGAGAAGATACGAAACCTTAAAATAATACATGATAAGATGTTAATTGCAATAAATTCAATAAATTATTTGAACGTGAAGTCATGAAGTTGCATGGTAAGTTTTCTTCGGGATACAACTTACGGTAAGACTCAACATGAAATCGAGGGATTTACCCTCTGGTTATGTCAACAGTTTGCTATTGAAAATGGCCATTGAAATAGTGGATTTACCCATTAAACATGGTGATTTTCCCATCAGTTACGTTAAATTACCAGAGGATTTACCCCCGCAAATCCGGGATGATTGAACCAAGCGGGATGGCCTAAAATTCTGATGCACATTTCTGCAAAATCCCTGCTGTCAATAGCCATGACCAGATTTTTTGGTAGCACCATTGATGTTGATGCCAACATGTTGCATGTAAAGGTCACTGTAGTTTCTTTTGTTTGTCTGTTTACCCTCAAGAAAACTGATTCACTGATGTCCCAGTTTGTGAGCGCATGTGAGCGCTAAGTTGGCAAAAATAGCTGAAAATTCACTCAGGTTTTATGGTAGAGCAATCCATAGTTATATATATATACATAATCGGGATTAACAAACCAACAAACATCACTGGAAGAATAGGCACCTAGCCTCCAGGAAACTGGACATCGACATTAAATCCACATTTCCAGTATGGGTTCCAATCATTAAGTCACCATTGAATCACCATGGAATCGCTTCCGGGCGGCTTCAGCGCGGGTGGCGGGCCATCAAAGACGAAGACCTTGGGGGGTCGTGAGCCGCGTGGGCATTGCCCAAACAGAAGCCACAGTGATACAGGATGGGGCCCCCCAAGATAGCTAAGTTGGTTTATAAATGGCTTAACTATGGTTTATGGTAGATATAACTATAGATAACTATGGTTAATGGGGTTTATAAACCAACTTATAACTGGGGGGCCCCATCCTGTAATAGGTTTGAAGTTTTGAAAATTGGGTGCACTCCTGTTTGGGATCATTGTTTATGACACCCAGTCACGGTTGGAAGATGGGTTTGTTTATTATTGGCTTTACCACATCTAAAATAATCATGTGCATGTGATGGAATACTTTTCGGGGATCTTTGGGGGGACTCAGTGCTAAAAGTGGTGATCAACCATGAGACTCTCAAGTGAAACTGAGACATGGCATGATGTGAAACTTGGAGTTCCACAACTAGGAAAACCCCTCCTTCAGAGGGGGAAAAAACCTCGATGTAACATGCCTGTGGGCAGATCGGGGCCCAAAAACATTCTTAGGATTAGGTTGGTATTTATTTATGGGATATCATGTCAACCCAAAAATTTGATCATTCAGCTGTGTCTGGAAGTGCCAAAAAAAACTGACAAAATGCATCCAGATGCCCAATGTAAATCATTTTTTCCAGAGTTTAATAGAGAAGCTGATGATAAATTTGATCACATTTCATGGATTTTCATGGTGTTCCCCGATTTTTTTGGCGACAAAGCCACGTGGGTTTGTAAGCCAGGAATCGGGGTCCAGATCTGACCACACCCGTGGGATGATCCTTCGATTCAAACCCTCTGGTTATGACATTCACAGTTCGCCATGGAAAACCATAGGAAAATGGTGATTTAGTGGTGATTAATCCATGATTTTCCTGGTGAAACCATCTATTTCTATGGGTCATCGAAAAACCATGGCTATGTTAGTCATAACCAGAGGGTCACCATTGACTTCTGGGATGTTGCTCGGGAGACATCAGACGACTAACCACTGACATCCACTGTCCGGCAAGATACCGGTCGGATCTTTAAATACAGCCTCAGCTGCAGGCCCGAGCCTACAGAGGATCCCATGGATCCCATGTAGCGCGATAGATCTGCCATGATCTGCCTACTTTCATTGGATTGGTTTCTTGGGGAAAATCGACTCACCGAAAACCATGGTTTTTACCAAATAGAAAATGGGGTTTTCCGGTTACAATCTTCCCTTAAAAAATTCATTGATACTGAATAACATACTTCATAAGACTGATAGTTCACCAACTATCAATCATGTAGAAATTCATAGGCATCACATGGCATCACCATGCTTGGTTGTTAAATATTGTTACAAGGTGGTGCCCCCCCACTTATAAGTTGGTTTATAATCCCCATTAACTATAGATATAACCCCCATAAACCCTAGTTATTGGACTTATAAACCAAGCTAGCTAACTATGGGGCACCACCTTGTAAATCATTATTTACGTCCTTTGCGGTAAAAACCAACTTCGCCAAGGATTTGTTGGGAATTAGAGGGGTCCAAGCCGCAGCTTGCAGATCCGACGAAAGAAACCAAGGAGGTGAGCGCCTTTCACCATATCTCCTGCCGAAATGGGTTGAACCCTAACAGTTCTGCATCAAAACTAATAGCAAGGTCAAGGATAGTTTGAAGTTTGAAGCTGGTTGGTGGTTTTTGAACCCCTGTGAAAAATATGAGTCAAATGGGATTATTGTTCCCAACATATGGAAAGTCATAAAATTCCATGGTTCCAGTCACCACCAACCAGGAAGTGTTTCCAGATTGGTACTTAGTTTCCCTCCAATTTCCAGGTGTCCGGAAGTTTAGGCAACTTTTTTGCTTACTATTTACGCTACGGCAAATCCAAGAACCAATACATCGAGCCAGAAGGTCAAGCGTCAAGCAACCGCGACGTGAGGATTCGTGAGGTCCTAGTCCTAAGCAAATCAACATGGATGTGCATGACCCAATCTGGTTGGTGCTTTTTAACATGTTTTATATAACCATCTTGAAAAATGATGGAGTTCGTCAATGGGTTTCGGATGACATCCTATATATACATTATGGAAAACCAAAAACTGTTCCAAACCACCAACCAGCAATTAAAGTGATGCCATAGGGACTGACCCCCTGTGTTGGATACTGAGCGGGCTCTTTGCCCCAGTCCTTTCTCGTCTCGCATCGCTTTCCTGAGTCGAGGGTAGCTTCAAACCCCAAAAATTCACCAACTTGGATGTTGCTTAGTTGGTGCCAAAAAAACCAAACGATCACTCCCTGTTTTGTTGATGTTTACTTTTCTATCCGTTTGGGTGGTCGCTTTGGGGTTATTCTCAACTCAAGGCATCCTTCCCCCACAACGCTGCGAATCACATGCCGAAATGACTTTTGTATTGGAGTTTGAAAATTAGCAATCTCCATATATAATCATATATATATACATAATTGTATATGTATGTGACTGTATGTATGTGTTCACTAGGCAATCATCTATTAAATGTTCTGCAACCAGATTTTGGACTTCAATTTTGCTTTCTGTGCCATGCACGTCGTCTGTTCCAACACCTTTTGTTTCTCATTGTTTCTCCATGACCATGCCATCATATGCCATCTGGCCGCTGAACATCACATGAAGAACATGTCCATCTGCTGGATGGCTAAAATAAGCCATTAACTAGCACTAACTATCATTAACTATAGTTATATTCCCCATAAATCATCAGAAAATCATCTTAGTCAAGCAATTTGAAACCCCCAAAACTTGGATGGATCTTGGATGGTTTGGTCCGAGATCTTGGATGGTTTAGTCTGAGATTATATCATGCCTTTGGACATCCCAGCCACGATGTGCTTAAGGACACCCCATTCATATAGAATATGCCCTATAGATTCCCCAAGTAGTATCAAGTAGTGCATTTTCCATTGGGAAAATACACAAACATCGAAAAATCTTCAACCCAGCCGATCAAATAATATTGACCCTGCGCCAAATCCAGTGGCAAGAAGTGGTACATCCAAATGCTTGCCTCGGCTGCAAAGAGTTGTTTTTTCGGCGTTTTTTTGCTCCGTATTTGGCAACCCTCATGGGCTTCCAAATCCGACAGAACAGATCTGTAGCTTCAACAATATCAAGGATGGGGAGCAGCTCCAAGGATGGAAATTGGGTATGTATGATGGGGCAAAGTCCACGAAAGCAGCGATTTCGAGATGTCGAGAGGTTAGACCCATCAAAACAACAACATGTGACCTGGGATCATCATCAACTGATGAGGGTCTCCTAGGTCTCCTTCCTTTTTGAGCGGGTTCCCAGTGGATGAGCTCATATTCCCAGATGGATAGTCCAAGTTTTTTTTCCACCCAGCTACGCATCGCGCGTCAATTCGGAATCATCCACTTGTTTTTGGTGATTGAGCTTCCAGTCGCTGCGGATCGCTGCTCATTCAGTGGATTGGTGGAAGCAAAGTACCATGACCCTCTGGTAAACAACTGTGGCAATGGCAGCTATAATTAAATGAAGTCTTCAATGGGAAAATACCTATAAATGCTAGATTTTCAATTGCCACGGTTGATTGGAGAAAGGGGAATCCTGTATATTACACCGAATCTGATTGGTCATTTCATGGTGGAACATCACCATGGGGTGGTGCCCCAAGAATTATATCTTGGTCTTGGTGTTTAAATATGTTGGCGCCAAACCCCACGTTCGCCCACACCCAAAGAACACACCCGAGGATGAATGAAAACACTGGCAATACGCAGCGATTTTGACTTTAGGTTTTTAGGATTTAGGGCTTTAATTTTTAGGGTTCAGGTTTTTAGGCCTTTATCTTTTAGGGTTTTTGGGTTTTAGGTTTTGGAAAGTAAAAACATGCTAGCTCTACGCAGGGATTTGAGCATGTCAAAGGATATGCGGGATCCGATGCAGGCAAACGTGGGGTTTGCAGTGAATATGTTCAAATTCACCTGTACAATATAAACCCAACACTTGAAATTGAAATATATTTTTGTTCACCAAGTTTGTCATGATAAATCACCCATAACTGCCATAACTCTCAATTCTTGCTGATGAAATCCCAATTTTGGCTGATTTTTCATCAACCTTTTTTCGAGAAGGATTGGGCTATATTATATCAACTCTACATCCCCATCTTTGCAGGTGAAATGAGCATCGTCCCCCATTTTTGTTGGCAAAAAAAAATTTTCAATGGCCATTTCAGGAACCTAAATTGGAGGTACCTACCATATGTAAGGCCTATGTAAGGGGATATCCCCAGAAAATATGGCCTTATATGGTACAGTACCTCCATTTTAGGATCCTGAAATTCCCATATTTGAAGCTCAAGCTGCATCTACGGCCACCACCTTGTTCTCTAACGCGGCGAAGTTCACGCGCTGACCGGCGGCAGAAGCTAAGTCCCAAAGGCCTGGCCCGTGCTGTGGCCGGTGGTTTGGGAAGGATGACATCCCTCTTTTATGAAATGGGAAAATAAAACATGTTTGAAACCACCAACCAGTGGATAAAACTGGCTCTCTCCCTCTCTCTCTCTCTCTCTTTTTTTAAAGTATATATATATATATATATGTCAGTTCTAAATTGAAGCTTTTCTGCATCTTCGTGAGGCATACATTACTTACAGATGTTGCCAGAATTGGCAATCTGTGGTTAGGAAGTTTTTCTTAGGATTAATGATTACCGTAACATGTCAATGTGTTGCTTTGAGGATCAAGTGACGGGGGAAAGATGTCGAACCCTGTTTAACAGGCCACTGACAATGGTGGTGCCCTTCATCCAGGGAAATCTGGGAATATTATGGAATATTCATGAATATTCAGTTTTCTTGACAACACCAGGCAGTTCAGCAAAATGGGTGGATAATGGTGGATATTCAGAGTCGAAGCCCAGATATTCAGAGTCGGTTTGTCCACATGATTCATGGATTTCATGGTCGATCAAGGTCCATCAATGTCGATCAGAGACAGTGGGCACCTTGCACCCCCATGGCAGCACTCCATGGATCTGCAGCTTTGAGATGTTTTTTTGTTGGAAAGCTGTTTGACTGGTTGAACCACCACATCCCCCAAAAAAACGAGGCAAAACCATCATCTGCCAGCGAAGAACTGGCCGGATCTGAGTTGGCCAATATTTTGGTACTGACATGCGGTTGTTCCTTTGTTCAAGTCAATATTTGGATGATTTTTGGAGAGAATTAAGAAACAATGTTAGTAGTTGGGAATTCCCATGGAAAATCGCGGTGAAGAAATTCATCCAAGAACCTACCCTTGGGGTGTAGCCAGCAAAGTTCCTCGCTCTTTCAGAGGTGCTGGGACTAAAAAACTGCAGCTTGAGCCACAACGAAGCACCACGTGTACTTGCCATCTGGGCAGTTGGAATCTAAGCCAGCTATTTGTGGCTAATCCACGGACCTCAAGGTCCCTAAAAGAGAAGACTACAAAATGGTGCCCCCCCATCCTTAGCTAAGTTGATGAATGAAACTATTGCCCAATTGCTGGGTTTATTAGGGTTGATGGTACATGTATCGCACTATTTACGTCATAAAACTTAAAAACCAAGAAACCTCCCCAAAGGGCACCACCTTTTTGGATTTGTTTGGAAAGTGCTGCATCTTCTCACCACAAGGCATCTTGAAAAAGTGCGGGCATTGGGTCCTTCTGCCGTCCAACATTGTCATTATCTATTCACATGCAGCACATGAACACTGGCAGATTTATGTCACAATACTTGACGAACTTGAAATCTACATGGCATTGCTTTGGCATTATATGGCATACTTAATCCTCATTTTTGTTGGTGAATCCTCTACATGGCATTATATTCAATTTTTTAACCAAGAACAATGAGCATTCACCCAGCAGATCTTCCTCGTGAACCCAGATGATCATACGCTGAATCCCTGCCCCAACCACACAGACATAACGGCGTTGAAGAGAAACATGTGTCCCTTGAACTGATCATTGCTGGTTAAAAACCCATATGCGGTTTATATATATATATACGTATATGTATATGTATATGTATATGTATATGTATATGTATATATGTATGTATGCATATATATATATATATATATATGCCTACATGTTTTCTTATCCCATGACATGCGTTGCTGTGTTGCTGATGTACCCAACTAATTTGCATGGCAAACCAAAGGAAAACCACACCCAATGTTGCAATGGACAAACAAACAAACAAACAAACAAACGAACGAACGAACGAACGAACAAACTCATTAGTTGTGATGTACTATACTCATATATATATATATGTTAATATATATTATACATCGGTAAATATTATTAATTTTGCACCCAGGTGTAATATGTACAACACCAATTTTTCCTGTTGTTTTGAGTCACCCAGACACACCACATCGGAGGAGTCTCACCTTTCGCAGTTGTTGCCTTAATGTTGTGGCTGGATCCAGTTGAACGGACAGGGACAGTCCCCGTCCGTAACGAATTCAATTCGAAACGAGGACCGTTTCGGAAATTGCCGAAATCTCTTGGAGTTTTCTATGAAATCGTCGGGCCTTGAATGCAAAAAGAGATACCCTCTGGTTATTTAACATAGCCACGGGAAATGGCCCATTTATAGTGGATTTTCCCATTAAAAATGGGGATTTTCCATTGCTATGTTAGTTCACCAGAGGGTAAGTGTAAAAACAAAAAGAATGATGTTCAAAGCCACAAGCAAAGCGACATTGTCAGAAAGCGGGAACATGTCCAGCCAAATCATCAGCCACGTTTGTGACAGAAATAGCACCCTTACCTGGCAAGCCAGCCTGGAAATAGCGAATGCATTCGACCCCTTCCCACGTGAATTTGGGATCCCGAGACTCACAAACCTTGCCCAGTGCCAATCATCCAGTTGGCACTCTGAACATTGATTGACAACAAAAAACAATCAAAAACCATACCAAACAATCGGCATTCCTTAGAATGTGATTCTCACTTTCCATAATTGTCCAGCTGCTTTTTCCCCCCCAAAAAAGGCAAGAACCAGCTCTCCACCGGGAAACGCTCCCTGCTGGCAACACTCCAGCAGACTGGACCTCACCAGGCGGCGGCACCGAAGTTTCGTGGGATTTCACAGGGTTTAATTGGATATATCATACTTAGTGCCATGATATAATGCCATGGGGATTATCATATTACTAATGTTCACATGATTCACATGGTTTTATGGGATTTCATATAGCTATCCAACTTAATGGGGTATATCATAATACACACACACACATATATATATATATACACCCTCCAGTAAACTAACATAACTATGGAAAATCACCATTTTTTATGGGTAAATCAACTATTTCTATGGCCATTTTCCAGTTTGCAAACTGTTAGTCATTACCAGGCCGGGTATATCTCATCTATCCAGATACTTAGTGGAACTAACGAAGGGACCCCCTTTAAGGCTGATGGGACCCAAGAAAGCTCTATGAAACGTAGGTGGAAATTATGGGAACCGTAGGTGGTCACTTGGGATCCGAAATCGGGTCATTCCAGAAGATATTGACAATTTTGGTGCCTACAATCCTTGTGTAAGTTAGTCAATGTGGAACATTGTGGAACTATGTTCAGCAGGGTTTGTGGTAGGTGTGGTAGACATATTCATATGTGCAGAATGGGTTGTATAAGCCAACTTATACGGTGGAGAGGAACACCTTTTGGCATATTCTGAAACCAGCAGCCTGAGAAAAATTGGATCCAAATTGGATAAGCCTGCGCAAACAACTTTGTTCCATACCCACACCCAACCCATTGATGATGATGATGATGATGATGGTGATGATGATGATGAGGAGGAGGAGGAGGTTGAGAATGAGGATGACGATATGTCTGAATGGTGGTCAATAACTAGGATCATGAATCATGGAAGCTTCATGCACGGGAACCCAACCCATCTTCCCAAAGCTGACCCTTTTTCAACATCTGGTTTTGGGGTAAATCTGAACTACCAAGAACAACGGTAGTGGACGCATCACCATCAAAACCACAGAACGAAGGCCATGTCCTTAAAAAAACATGGTGAAATATGGCATCTTATGGCCATGATATTCCCAGGGTTAGAAGGCCAATACCCTCCGGTAAACAAACATAGATATTGAAAATTGCATTTGTTTTAAATGGGTATATAAATCCACTATTTCTATGGCCATGTTCAATAGCTATGGTTGTTTACCGGAGGGTATATATCATCTATTGGAATATCTTCTCTTCACCATCCAATTTCGACTTCGACCGCCTGCACCAGCCGCTGGGGAAGATGGTGGCACCTCATGGCGAGATTGACCCAACCGCAACAAATGTGCGTCATAAATCCAAATTAATTACAAGATGGGGCCCCCAAGATAGCCAAGTTGGTTTATAAATGGCTGATTTCTATGGTTTATGGTAGATATAACTATAGATAACTATGGTTAATGGGGTTTATAAACCAACTTCTAACTGGGGGGGCCCATCCTGTAAGTGAATATCCTAAAAATCCTTAAGGTGAGGACCAGCTATTGAAAATCGAAAAGACACCTGGTGGTAGCCTCCCATTTGGACAGCACCGATGTGGCCTTCAGCAGTGTCCCCGACAGAACCATCGCCAGTCAAATACCTGGCGAATTGTTTTCACCGCTCCTCATGAAGTCAAAGTGCCATGCAATGTCAACCCTGTTGGCATTGCCAACTTCCATTTCCAATTTCCAATAGCAACTATCAATCATATGTATATATATATATATGCATATATATATATATGCATATATATGTATATATACTTGGTATTTCGGTATTACCAACAAATTGATGGAGTACCCGCAAAATAGTGATTCAAACTACTATCAAATTAGCTACCCCCTTTGTGTCATAAACTGGGGGGGTAGCAAAATGCTGGGTTAGCATTCAAAATGCTAGCCTCTGGCAATCTAAGCTATTGAAAATCACCCATAGTTGATTTGCCCATTAGAATGATGATTTTGCTCGGCTATATCAGCTTACCAGAGGGAAACCATATCCCGCAAAACAAAGAGTAAACTTTCGGCCAGCCCCAAGCACCGCGGCACACGATCACGGTCCAGACGCGAGGATTCGACTCATTCTCCGTGGGATTGTCGAAATGGAAGCCTCGAGTCGATCGACTCGAGCATCCCACAGTTATGGCCATTTATTAGTTATAACTGGTTATAAATGGGATTATACATTTTATAAATGGGGTTATAAGTACTTATAACTGGTATTTTGGGCCATAACTGCACTGATCTGGAGAATTTGTCAGCATGGTGGGGAGAAAACAAAACATGACAAAGACATAACTCACTGTGGTGTAGAGAAAAGTTGGAGCGACCCTGGTTGAGGTGTAAGTTTTACAACTAAGATGTTTTAAGTCAAACATAGTCAAACAAAATTAGATATTAATATATTGGGAGACATGCAGCCGGAGAAATTACAAACCAAGTGTCACCAAACACTTCTTATACATTAGGATGATGACCTAAATTGAAGAACTTGGCTGGATCATGTCGTATCATGAAATCTTGGCGTAGAGCCATCCATCTGGACATGAAATTTCAAACATCAGCTTCAATCTTCTCATGTTGGGGTCAAAACAAATACATACAGACCAAATCATATAGTTAATATATAGTTAACAATACAGAATACATAGGTTTAATTAGATCTAAAATAAACTACAATATATATATATATATATAAATATGTATATGTTCACCCAATCTTAATTAGATCATAGAATCTATAAATATCATTAAATATCTATAATATACATTAATATACCCATGAGATCTTAATTAGATCCCAGCGCCATGATTCCAAACGCGCCTTGATGATCTCCCGGCCTTAGAGATGCGGAAGAAGAGATCCCATGGGGGGTAACAAAATTTAAGGATTCTCTTTAATGATAGATTCGATAAGTGTAGTATAATATGATAACAAAGATTATAGAGATAGTAAATCTATGTAAATCTGA